GCGCAAAATTTCGGAGGAATAGGATTTGTGGTTGGACATGAACTTACTCACGCATTTGATTCTCAAGGTGTGTGTTTTTAGCGACGCGTCCTGTATTCTTTATAATACTAACCTTTTTATAAAAACAAGAACCGTAGTTGTTACGTCTAATCTTTTATTCGACAAGGAATATTTGTCGAAAAATCAAGACCTTCTATAGTTGGTGATCATTTCCTTCATTCTCGTAACCTTTCTGTTTTATTCAGGGGTGATATTGTAAGGAGAATCTAGATGTTAGTCACTCTTATGGGTTTAAGGGTTAATAGAAAACTAAACACGCTTCTATCCTTTTCCAGGTGCAATGTTCGATAAAAATGGAAACCTGAAGAACTGGTGGGATAAAGAATCTTTTTCTGGTTTTGTGAGTCGAGAAGGGTGTATGAAGCGTGAATATGAGCAGTACTCAGTACAGGGACGCCATGTAAGTTATTGCGGTTTACCCCATCGTAAAACATACATACAGCAAATCCTTTTTCCTGAAAGGGCACTATAATTGCATCTGGTATAAGTCTACTGAGGCCTATCACTAATGCTGCAGTCTGATTGCTCTCTATTCCATATGATATGATAAGCTGAATAATACACACATTGATCACACACACATGATCTATTGGAAGACAGACTCATAGATAATGTCACCGTTAACAACATCGTTTTCATGTAAAACAAACAGATTCCATGTTGCGGTGGCTCTGTACAGTAATAGATCACAGATGACGTCAAAATGTGGTAGGAACATCCGTGACATGCTCAGTTGCTCTCCTTCTGCTCACGCTTTTGTTCTTACTACATCTTTGATCTATTACTGAACAAAGGGGGTAAGTTTCTAAGGAAATTGTGCTACTACGTCGGCGGAAGAGTATAACAGGGTAATTTAGAGTTATCAACTGAGTTGATAAAGTAAATTGGCCATCGAGCGTTAGCCTTTTGTCAGAGCGAATGACGAAGGACTAACGCTCGAAACGTTGGCTTTGAAACTCTTTTCAATTTACGTTATCAACTCTAACTTACCGTATTACTAAACAGACGTACGGCAGCATGAAATCTGAGGGAGTTAAGTGAACAGCCTAACACTGTGACTGTGTAAACAGATTAAAATAACAGCACGAGCCTGTCTCGTTGTTAATTTTTGAGCGACAAATAGATCTATACTTAAACAATTGGGTCATTCGCTCTTAATTATATGCGTCACCGTCAACAAACATCACGCAATAGAAATCTGAAGCTCATAATCTAAATTTGTAAGTATGCAATTTAAAAGGACTGAGAGGAGTACAGTTCAAGGAGGAATTGTGTGAGAGATTTCAAATTGATCGAGGATGTAACGCGAGGATGATTTGAAAATACGAGCACGAGTGCCCCTTTCCAGCTTTTAAGTAGAATGCTGATCTGAAGGCTGCTGTTTTCCAAATTTTATCACTTGGGTTAAAATATTCTAAAACCTTTTGTTTCTCTGTTTATTCTTCTACTTTACAAGCTGTTGACATTTTTGGATTCTGACCAATTTTTTTCATCACTGCATTAGTTGGATGGCTTAAAGACTCTAGGAGAAAACATTGCTGATAATGGCGGTTTGAAACTTGCTTACCTGGTAAGGGTTTTCGAATCTTATAACAAAATTGCCCGTGAATCTGTATCAATATCCTATGTATCTATCAGAAAACGACCAATCATAGCCACCACAATCGATTCCCAGGAAGGCAAAGTCGCAAGAAAATTGAATGAGAGATAAGCTACAAAAACCTGAATACATTCTTAAAGACGTTTAGTTAGAAGACGGGGCGCAAGAGGGAGGGAGAAGGTTTGACTCTCAGACCTACCAATGGCGTTTGTAAAAAAAAGGAGAATTTGTTTCACAATCAGAAGATTCAGGCAACGTTGAGGTAATTCTTAGATCACTGACATGCAGTATCTGAGCAATTGTGTACCTATCCCTCCCCTAACCAACAACAGTCATCTGATGACATATTAGGGTTAATGTTGAGTTAGGGGAGAGGTGGGTGCCCTGTTGCTTCGCTAATGACTTTGATCCTAACTTTTTCTTGACGATTTCTGTAAAGTAGCGCGAAAGATCACGCTGGGAACAGTTCTGGTATTGCGCACAGTCTACTGAGGTAATTTTTCGTTTCGTAACAGGCATATCACAAGTGGTCAGATGAGCACGATCATGACAGTACGCTTCCTGGGCTTGGTCTTACCTCAAATCAACTATTCTTCCTTTCTTTCGCTCAGGTATGATAAGTGGGTGCAAAGAACTATCAAGTCATGTTCTAATGTTCTAAATGATACTAAGCCAGACACAACATAATGAAAAAAATACGCATTCTTTTTCTTATTTAGATTTGGTGCGAGAAAACCACTCCTAGTTATGCATTGACTGATTTACAAATTGACGTGCATAGCCCGGGAAAATTTCGGTGAGTAACAATTGCAAGGGGCCATGTGTTTCACAAAGTCAGGATACAGTACGGTTTTGTGTTCAGGTAGTTTGCTTTGTCTTGCGACAGTGTCTTGCCTGGCATCCTTCTTTATATCGAACAACTGGCGACCAAAATTTATTTTTGTTTATCCTTGGTCAAAATTGATACTAAAGACTGAAAATGAAATTGTTGTTGACGACCCCAGATGTGCACTGTGTACTCGGGTAGGAAGCTTGATGAACGATTGCATTGCAACATTTGAATGTCTATTTCAAAGCGAACGTCGAGTTATTTGTTACTGACTCACTCAAGTAGCTAAGCAGTTGGTGCCAGAAAGTGGACTACTTAGAGAGAGACTGTCCACAAAAATGTAGACTAAGATATTCAACTTTAAATTCAAATATAGGCCTCATTCCTGTTACGGTAATTTTACGGCTTAAGGTATCTGGTCGTCTTGACACAATGTTACATATATCCCACTTGCTATTTGGATACAAAATGTAGCTTGGTAAAGAACCGCGTAGGAGGTCCCTATGCGAAAAATTAGTTACACTATAGAGAATAGACTACCAAAAGGCCATTTTACAGTTGTGTACTTAGTTGCCAAGCCTTTGATTTGGAGCAAGGCTGAAGGTAACCTTGTTGTGATAGAGACCAGTATCTAGTTAGCATTATAGCAAAAAGTCCTTTGCATTTGAAAAGCAGCTAGGTTTGTATCATAACAAGGTCAACCTTAGCCTCACTTCTGTTCAAAGGCCTGGCAACCAAGCATACAACTGTAAAATGGACTATTGACTACCAGTGGGGGCCGGGAGTGGGAGTGGGGGTCATAAACATATTACAGAGCCTAATGGGACAAAACCAAAATTCTCCGACCCCACCCACCCCTCATTCTTCCTCTTCCCCCGACGATAAATGATGACCTGTCCTTAATCTTTTTCGTTTCTTGTCTTTAGAGTTGATGTTACATTAAAAAACAGTCAAGCTTTTGCCGAAGCCTTTAAATGTCCAACAGGAAGCCCAATGAATCCTGTCAACAAATGTGCCGTTTGGTGATTTCCTGCGGGAATAAAAGAGAATTGTATTATTATTTTTTTTCAAATATGAGTGTATTCCTTATTTATTTTCTTGAATGGAAATTTCCCCTGCCGACAAAACCTGCCATTGAATTGATAAAAGCAAATGCATTATTTAGATTTGGAATTGAATACAGTGAAAACTGGAAAAAGGATCGCCAAATACATCTTTCTCTGTTTTTGCATACGACGCACAGAGGAGGTAACATTTAGTGATAGTTTAACCCTTTAACTCCCAAGATCTGATTGTTAATTCTCCCCTGTAGCTGCTACACATTTCCTTGTAAATTAATTACGAGAACTTGGTGCTAGATCAGGATAGCAGCTTCTACCTGATAAGTTTGAATATTCTCTTTACCTGTTTGCTGAAGAATGTATGGATATTGTAGGGAGAAGTTTTATGTTAATCACTTCTGGGAGTTAAAGGGTTAATAGAGGGAAGGGTGATGTTTGGGACCTTTTTGTCTGTTAAACCTCAACACCTTAACATTAGGAGCCATACTCTTCATACTCTACTCTACACCTTTTCTTTGGTACTGACAAGGAGAATTTGTTTAACAATCAAAGTTTCTTAGGTTTGGCGATCGTTTCCTTCATTCTCATGATCTTAGTGATTCAGCAGTAGCAGTGTAATTAGAAATTAGATGCTGGTCACTACGGGTTAAAAGGTTAACCAAAATCTGTAAAGAAACAGAGTTGATGGCTCAGTGGTAATTATGGAGAATGTTTTAGTTTTATAGTTTTAATTTTAAAAAAAATAAGATTAAAACGAAATTCATCGATCGATGTTCTTAAACTGGGGAAAAGAATTCATTTAACTAGGGTCAATGCCATGTCAAAATAAAATTATTAAAACCAGTGTTGTTTTGCTTGATTACTTTAACTAGTTAGTGCACCTTTATGAGCTTCATACTGGTATCTTAGGTGAGATGCTGCCTTTGTTATTTCTACGAATTTGTTGAATCAAGAGATTAAAGACTCCTGATTGAATTAAACGGCTGTGAATATATGAAAGTCATATATTTGAACTGCGGATAAAGACGTGAATATGAAAGTGATCTTCGCAGTAATGAACAGGCCTGAATTTTTTTTCAGGCCTTATTTTCACTACTGTTTAAGTAGTGTTCATTACCGCGAAGATCGCTTTCATATTCATGGTTGAATTAATTCAACGAGTAACCTCACATCTAGCCCCAAATTTCTGTCCACTCTTTGAAAACAAGCAGTACTAGTAGACATCATTTGAAATTTGAAGGAGTTTTATACAAAAATGTCAGTATTGTAAAAACCGCTGGGTATGTTGTATCAAATTAGAATTTTAATTATGTTTTTTGTCCTTTTGTGATCGTCCTTACTGATCTCGCGGCAGGTGACATATTTTTATGAAATAATTAATTGGGCATAACGAGACTTGCTTAATATATGTATAACCTGTCTTGGCTGGATGAAAACAGACAGCCTCACCGAAGAAAGAGCAAGGTAAAAGGACCATGAGCAATAATTACGACATTACTACTCCAGAAGTCGCCAATAGCGGAGGTATCAATTCCTCTGTGGTCATTTTGAACGAGTTTAGAGAGAGAAGCAAAGACGGAGGAGATGTGGCCAATATCTCGACAACAGCAGCGACTAATGGAGCCGCGCAGAGAAGAAAGATTTGTCTCATTGCAAAGTTGCAGTGCCTGTTTTTTACCATGAAAATTTTCGGATTGCTGTACGAAGAATATAACACTCATCACCCAAGCAACATTGTACGTGGTCGATGGATTTGTACTTTCACGAAACGTGTGTATCAGTTTTTTGTGTTGTTGGTTCTCTGGTTTAACGTAGGAAGGGTGTTCGCTTCATTTTGGCTTGATGAGAAACTGCTCAGTACCGACTACAGTCAGGCAGCCGCTGTCTTGCTTTGGTCCCTGCAAACCGCCTTACAAGCGTCTATCTGCGTCTACACTATGCAAATCACATCCAAAAAGTCCCCTTTGAAAAGCTTGTTGTTATATTGGAATTCGCAGCCCAACTTTGACGAGTTAGTGGTAGAGCCCTTCATGGTACAATGCGTCACGCGAACTCTGATTATAACATATCTCTTTATGGCGATAAATGCTGTGTTTTATGGCCTTGTTTTGTTTTATCCTTCGGAATCGATGCTATATCTTGCTCGTGCATTCCTGTCCCCATTCCCGCTCGACAACATGACTTTAAAGATCCTCTTCTTTGTGATATCAGCTTATTGCACGGCTGTTTGGGTGTTACCGTTTGCTATCTTCACAGCCGTTTGCCTGACTTTAATCCATCAATGCAGAAGTCTTAGAAAGACACTGCGCTTGACTGCTTCGGCTAGTGAAGTGAGAAGAGTCAAGACTTTAAGACAACAACATTCGTCATTATGCGGCTCTGTGAGAAAAGTGGACGACTTATTCAAATTTGTAACTCTCGTGGTTTATGTCACCAACATACCACTAGTTTGTTTTCTTTTCTATCGTTTGATTTTCGTCAAGAATAACGATGCGACGACTTATGTGATCATGAGTTTTTGGTCCCTTGTTGTGCTCTTTGCAATGGTGAGTGTATCGTTCCTTGGGGCCCATTTGAACAGCAAGGTAAGCTATCAAAGCTAAACTGCCCCCCCCCTCCTCATTAGTAAAGAAAGGGGTATGATCCAAAAAGGGAGATAATAATTTACCAACGTGCATTTGAGTTATGGTTGATAAGAGTAAATAAGTCAAGAAACAAAACATGAAGATACTTTCTCTGTGCACTGTGTTCGAGTCGATGGGCGAAGGCACCATAAATGGGAGTCAAGGAATGTTAAATATTGTCGGAACCTTTGAGCGTTGTATGAATTTTTCTGACGCCCATTAGTTTTTCGAATATCAGATGGAAAAACAATAGGACGCGTAAGAAAGAGACTAACTTTCAACCTTTGTACCTAATAATGTAATCGAGCGGATTGACTAAAATTTGCGACTGCGCGATCTTGTGCTGTCAAAGCGGCACCACTCATGAAAACTTTGAATTTGTAACTAAAGCAACAAGGAAGTTGAAATGTGGTAAAAAAAAATAATTTTAGACAAATACATCTCAGTCACATGTACAGGATTCAGGTGAACCAATTAACGTAAGTCATTAAATGAGAGAGATGTTTGTTAATTCTCCCTTCTAGCTGTTATACATTTCCTTGTTAATTAGTTACGAGAGTTTGGTGTTAGATCAAGACAACAACCTTCTACCTGACAAGTTTGAGAATTTTCATTACCTGTTAGCTGGATAATGTATGGATATCATAGGCAGAAGTTACACGTAAATCACTTCTGGGAGTTAAAGGGTTAATTTTTTGATTTTTCCCTTGGACTGAACTTTATGACTTGTGCCCAGGCTGTTTGTTAACTGTAAAAAATATGTGCTGTTAATATGGAGTTTTTTCGACCAGTCTTTCATAAACAAACCGATGAGTCATTTGATCTTTATCTGTGAAATAAACTATTGAATATGTAATGTAACTAAAAAAATAGGTCTTTATAATTTCCAAATCTTATTTAATGTTCAGATTCATTCTTTCACGGAAGTTGTGCAGAAAGTTCAAATAGCTAACGTGGACTTGGACACTCATACAGAGGTTTGCCTTCACATTATTTTTTTCCAGATTACTGCGTTGTTAAGCCACGTTTAATAATTATCATTTGTTCCGTTTTAGTTGATGCTGTTCGTGGCGAAGTTAAACGGGGACCCTGTAGCAATTACTGCAGGAGGACTAGTACCCATTACAAAACCGCTGATTGTAACGGTAATGTATCACATTTGAACAGAGCTGTAAAACGTCTGCGCATGTCATGTAACTGCTCAGAGAATCTTGGAATGAGTTTTTTCGTGCACCAACGTATTTGAATCGCTGCCACGCGGCTAGTTTCACACTGGTGTTCAGGAATAAAACTGTGGTGTTTAAAATTTAAATTTAAATTTCTGTTCCAGGTCGGCGTGTTGATATTGTGTTTAAGTTCAATGCTTAAACATACGATCTATGTCATAATGGGGTGGAAAATCAACCGCGCTGTTTTCTCTGTTTTTTCAAAAGTTCTACTAATTCACTATTCTCTTACCATGTTTTCCCTCCTCAATCAAGCGTTAGGTGAGCCAGTTTTCAACAAACACAGAAAAAAATCATCCTCTTTAAATTTCGCTGAAATTTTTATTTTTCTCTTTCAGGTAACTGGTGTGGTCATTACTTATTTTACTCTTTTATATCAATTGGAGTGAGGCGATATATTGATCAAATATCGATCGATCTCTCCCTGAACATTCTTTAAATTCAGTTCATGTGTATGAACAAATAAACGGCAAATGGACCATTATTTGCTTATATTGGTAGATATTTGTGTTGAGCAATGGGCTGAGACGCCTTGGCATATATTCTTATTGACTGAGATGACTCTTATTGGGTGGTCTGAATTTTTGCCTCGACGTTTATTTTTTTGTTTTTTGTGGTAATGAATTGTTGACTTGTAATGCAATCGTTATTAAAACCGAGAGAGAACAACACTGGTTTTTCTTGTTACAGAGAGCAAAAGAAGCAACCTTTTTAAGGGAGTTATTGCTCCGTAATCTCGCCATTGCATGTTAGGAATTTAGCCAAAAAAAAACAAAAAAAAGGAGCTAAACCGTTCACATTTCAACATGAAGAGAGTATGTGAAATTGATATCGTTTTGATGAAGGACTTAATACACTAGATCAACAAAATGATTATCACGTGCAGAAGGGTCACCTTGCAAACTTCTCTCAGGGGTAGGGCGGGATTTGTAAAGGCTCATTCACGCGCGACTCAATCAGCGTTGTCAATATTTGCTTTAAATCTCGGCTTTACCGCCTACCGGATTTAGATAGGTTGACAGTGAATTAACCTGATTAAAATTCTTGTAATTCGTCTTGTATCGAGTCTTCTAAAATCATCTAATCAGGCCTAAGAGCAAGGCATCTTTCACAAGATTTCTGAGAATAGTGAATGATAAGTGTGCATCAAAATTTGCATGTGATTTAGACCATAACAGATCTTTGATGACGCATCATGCCTCAGCACGCAATAGGTGACAGCGCATGATACCTAACGTGACAAAAATCTGCTAGTATTGTGTCAAAGTGTGCGTGTAACTTTTCATCACAGATTAAGCTTCGGACCTTTACTCCACAAACGGTTTTCGACAATGAGTTTTCAACCGAACGGAGTTGAGTTTTTAGACGTGTCTATCGAAGCCGACTTTAATAAGCCGCATTCGCCCAGAATTAATCTTAAAGACCTGGATAAGATGTCAAATGGAGGGAAAGACGAAGCAAACCAGTCAACCAAGAAAGAGTTGAGTGCTATTAAGAAGATTTGTATGATTGCCAAGTTACAATGTATATTCCTCCCAATGAAGTTGTTCGGTTTGTACTATCAAGACGTGAGGGGTACTTGTTCAGGAGAATTTGTCGCATATGGAGGGAAATCGGCATTTTTGATGCGTTCGTACCAGTTCGTGGTGATCGCGATTTTGTGGATGAACTTCGGCAAGACGCTAGCATCGTTCTGGGTCGGTAATAATCTTGGTACAATGATACTTCCAGCCTTTCTTTGGTTTTTACAAACAGCTCTCCAAGCCTCGATCTGTTTCTTCACCATGAACTTGAGATCTAGGAAGTCCGCCTTGAAAAGTTTGTTGTTGTATTGGAATTCCCAGCCGAACTTTCACGAACTTGTCGTCGAGTCGTACATGATAAAATGCGTGAAACGAACGACGATGGTCGCGTATTTATTAATGTTGATGAACACAGTGCTGTATGGCTTAATCCTGTTTTCTTCGGAATCCCTTATACCAGTGGCACAAGCTATGGTTTCACCCCTTCCTGTTACAAGCACAGCGGCCAAAGTATTTTTCTTCATTGTGGCTATTTACAGTTCAGCTGCTTGGTTGATGCCTTTCGCCATTTTCTCCGCCGTCTGCCTAACTTTAATCCATCAATGCCGCCGTCTGAGGAAGACCCTGCGTTTGACTGCCTCCGCCAGTGAAGTGAGAAGAGTGAAGATCTTGAGGGGACAACATTCCTCGTTGTGTGGCTCCGTCAGAAAAGTGGACAACTTGTTTAAGTTCTTGACCCTGGTTGTTTATGTCACGAACATCCCGTTGCTCTGCTTCCTCTTTTACAACCTGATTTTCGTCAAGACTGACAATGTCTTAACCAAAGTGACTTTATCGTTTTGGTTTATTATTGTTGCTTGCATCATGATAGGAGTTTCCTTCCTGGGTGCACAGTTAAATAGCTGGGTGAGTGATGAAGATTTGACTGGCCTTAGACTGTTTTTGTTGCGCTGCATGCCAGAACACGTGATCGCTAGAGTTATTGACTTCACATTACTAAGGGACCAGCGATCATTTATCACCGAGGGGGGATGGGTTGGATAATTGTTTTTTTTTTGGGGGGGGGGATCACATGGTTTTCATCGGGAACAGAGGAGGGGGGGGGAATTCAGTCAACGCCAAAAAAGTATAAAGGGGGACTGACTTCTAATTAACTGCCAACGTGGGGGATCATAAGAATTTTACAGAACTTTAGGGGAGGTCAGGTAAATGCTATTGTCACGCAGCCAAATTTCTGTGAGCCCCCACCCTCCCCGCCACAGGCGATAATTACTGATCGGTCCTCTACTGCCAATAGTGGAGGTACTATATATGAGCCTGAGATGAAGGTGGAGTCAAAATATTTGGGCAACCTCTCTTGCTTTAACTAGTAAATATACGGAGTACACACGGAACGAAAAATAAGTTTACTTGATGAAAGTAATCGAGGATATTAACAAATAATATATTTAATTTTTGTTTCCTTTGTGGACAGATTCATTCCTTTACAGAAGTTGTGCAGAAAGTTCAAATATCAAATGTTGATCTGGATACACATACGGAGGTTTGTTGTGACACGTTGTTGTGATGTTTTTCTAAAGAGGAAAAGGTTACCTGTGCCACATTAGAATTAATTACCTTTGTCCTCAGTGTGCAATTGATACTTATTTAATAAAGTTTTCGTTTGATTATCACGAAAGCCATTTAGAACTAAAAATAAGATAAAAACAAACAAGCAAACACACTACATGGAACGTGTAAAAGCGGTGACCAAGTCACGATTCAGGCAAATTTGCATTTGATTAATTGTGGCACGCAGTTTTTAGACCAGTCAGAAAACGTGGTGAAGTAAAATCAATACAGTCTTGGAATGCTTCCAAGTTTCGAGTGAAATTGCTTCACTGTTGAGAAGTCATTGTGTTGCCGTCCATTTTCTTCGACTGATAAGACCTAATGAACCATGATCTGGCAGTAAATAGTCATTAATACCAAGTTCTCTCTTCTTCTTCAGTTGATGTTGTTCCTGGCGAAGTTAGGCGGAGATCCCGTGGCAATTACAGCAGGAGGACTGGTACCAATCACAAAACCGCTGATTGTTACGGTAATGAATCCCTGAATCTTACCACCAAGTGTTACCAGTGCTCCTTTGATAAGTGTCATCATGTTGTTGTATACTCTAGTCCCCAAGCGCTCTCGGCTGGTCAAATTTGAACCCGATTGTAGGGTGCGTCCTCACGGAGAGACTCCCCTTCCCAGACTTCGTTAGGACAACGATGCAAGGGTGAACGCTCGGGGCTAAGGCTGAGGCCGGGCCGGTCTGACGTTCGTTAAAGATAGATTAACGATTCTCTTCATAAATCATAGTCAGCCGGCTCTGTTTCAATAATAGGACGTCAAACCAAGGCCTACAATTACTTAGAAATAATATCATCAGGGTACGCACAGGAGGTTGACAGAGGTAATTTGTTTTTCCAAAGTTAAACAACGCCTTTTGCTGATTTTCTTCAGGTAACTGGCGTGGTCATCACATATTTCGCCCTTCTGTATGAGCTTAGATGAAACGTCTTCGTGTGTAAACAGCCTACAGAACAGAAGTCTTTTCAGTTCGTGTATCCAGGAGAGTGGAGGCGAGCGCGAAGCAGTGAGTCGTTCGTGGAGGGGAGTAACATTAAACCACAATGAAATTTTTCGTTCGGACTCCTCTTCTCGCGCGTGATTCGCCCTTTGCATGATCTCCTCCTCATCGCCTCGCGATTGACTCTGCTTGCAATAGTATTGGAAATATTTCAAAAAGGAAGAGACAGATCTGTAGTTGTTAGCACTAACCAATCAAACTTGAAGAATAATGATGACTCCAACCAATCATTTCACTTTGTTTAACTAAAATGTGCGGACTAAGTAAGTTCACTAACGAGACGGGTCAGTCTACTATTTTTAGTCGTAGGTACTAAAAACAAAATTGCACTTCTCTGATGAAATATTCTGGATAACAGTGTGGCATGGTAATTCAATTGAACCCTCAGAATTTACTTACGAGTTGCATAAGCGTGTTCGTTGCAACAAGATATTTTCTTTGTAAAATGTGTCATTTTAATAAAACGTTTAGTAAATTTACAGTCTCAATCGTTGCTTGATAACAATGACTCTGAGTGTATTGCACGTTTTATATTAATCAGATTGATTCCGTAATGTTTCACCGCCTAAATGTTGATAAATACAAACAACTAAACAATAACAACAATAGCTATAAGAAAGAAAAGGTAAATAAAAGTGTTTTTATACCTTTTCTTTCTCTTACTTTTTTAACTATACGCATCAAATAAAAAGGAAAAAGGTCAGAATTCAAATCAAGTCTTGACGATTGTTGTGTTCTGAGGAGACTATTTCGATGAAAACTGCCAGTTATTCAGTTTTATATAAGAAGCTCAGCTATGCACGCATTTTGATTGGTTCTCACTTATGATCTATTGGAGGACAGACGTATAGATGACGTCATCATTAAAACTTTTTTTCCGTATATTTTAATTCTTTATTATATAAAACAAATTAATCCCAAGTTGCCGTGCGTCTGTTCAGTAATAGATCACAGAGGACGTCAAAATGTGGTAAGAACATCAGTGACCCATTCGGCTGCGTCTAGTGTGCCACTTTTTTGTTCTTACCACACTTTGACGTCATCTGTGATCTATTACTGAACAGACGCACGGCAACTTGAAATCTATTTGTTAAATGTATTTAGCGGGTCAGAAACCGCTACACCACGAAAACCAGGATTCGATTCGAGAACTTAGCAGTGAAAATTCAAAATTCGAGCCAGAGCGATTGTCACGGTGACGAAAGAAAAAACTGGTATGAATTAGCTCCTTCGTCGGCTGGAGTTAAATTATTGCTGATCATGAAAACTAATTCTCGAGAGGTACATTAAAGCTTCATCAACTGAAATTCAAAGATCACCAAACAGAAAGTCTTAGGAGCAAGAAATTAAAAGTGTGTTCCTGAATTTCCAATTACTTACGTTGTTACGAAATAAATAACTTATTTATGGTGTCATTTTTTCGGGTTAAGAAATAGCTGTCACGATGAAACTTTCCTGTGTAGTTTATAAAGTTTGTTATTTTTAATTTTCAATCTCTATTTTGGATAAAGGTCGGTTGCGCATGCCAGATAGATATATACCGCTTACACAAAAGAATTGGCGGGAAAATCAAAACACAAATTAGCTGAGTAAGCACGGAAGACGGACTTATGCAAATTGTGTTTTCAGAACGGCTCATTTAACAAGTCACAAAGGAAAGCTAAGAATAACAACAATATGAAGTCGAGCCTCTGTAAGTTGCCACAAAAGAATAAATTCTCGTCGGCAAACCGTATATACGTCACAGAAATTATTACGATAAAGGTCGCTTTGGAACCAGACAGACACGACGATTCATACCAGGGCAAATGATGCGAAGGCTTTTGCGCAAAGAGTTTGAATCGGACGTGGCCATTTTACAACTGAGTGAATTATCGATAACGACAGCCAGATAATGTTGTTATTCACACAAATATTGACCAAGTAACTATTTATTCTCCCGAAGAAGTGGTTATAACGTGGTTTGTCTCGATAGAACTCGTCGCTGCTATAATGGCCGTCAGGAGAGGGAAGTTCCGAGCTTTCTTGAAGTCCAAGAATCCCACAGATGAAAGCCACGATGAAAAAAATTCCTTTACAAACACTCAAGATATTGAAATCGAAGTGGAAGTCTCAGTTGGACCAAGAGGTAAGATTTTATTCTTCAGAAACTTGTCCTATCTGCATTCGTGTCAACAAACCTATCTATGCAAAGTACAAATTTATTGATTTTGCTTTATAATCTTAATAAATTTGATTAGAGTCATTATTATTGATTATTATTGACAGCGTCGCGAGGACGGAACTTTCTCGATCGATCCCCGGTGCAACACAGGAGAATATGATGAAAACCTGATTTTGATCCGATTACATACAAGCTTTACCTCGAAGAGGATAAAAAATTACCAATTGTTTATCTTTTCAATGACATCTTTGGGATACTTTAACAGTTGATTGCGTATTTAACGGTAAATTATTCGACGTATATGAAGCTTTTAACATTAAATGCAACGAACTTACTTGCTCTTATAGCAACTATTATTCAGCAAATCTTTTTCCAATATTCAACATCAATTTAGTCAATCTCTATGATCTTTTTCGCTAACTTATCGAACGGCTCAATTAAAAAGTTGTATATAGAAAATCTGTTCACATTTTTTTTGCAGCAATCACGGTGTTCAACGAAGACAAACCTTCAAAGTAGCGATATTTGCCTTAACCCTTTAAGCCCCGATATCAACATGTAAATTCTCGTCACTGTTCTCCACATGTTTCTTATTTTACTGATTGAGAGAATTTTTTCAAACATCGAGACATTTCATATTTGGTGATCATTTCATTCATTCTCGTGATCTGTACATTTGATCAGGCGGTGATATTGAAAGGAGAAATTAGATGCTGGTCACTATTGAGGCTTAAAGGTTAAGTATCAAGCCGATTTCAGACCTATCATATTCGCATCATTCAGTACTACTAAATCAGGCAAATATTTTTTCATTCAAATTTTCTTTGTTGTCATTTATTCCTATTTATACTTTCAAATACTGAATAGTCAGAATACTTATCGAAGCCCACCATTAAGTTCACCATCTGGTATTTTTTTCCTGTTCCTAGGAGAAATTAGCGACGCAGATGTAGAAATCGCTGGTGGTAACGATCAGCCTTACATTCCAGGGAATCCTGGACTTTTCATCATCGATATAAGGCCTGGAGGCGAGGCGGACAAACTTTTGAGTCCTGGATGTCAAATAGCAAAGGTCAGTTATTTCACAGAAATCCTCAAAGCTTCTATAATGCTCTACGTAGTACTGGAACGAGAATGAGGGAAGAGAGCAAGTGGATTGGAAGGAAAAAGGGGTGGGGTGGGGTGGGGTTGGAAGGGGGAGGGGTTTAGGCAATACAGAAGGGTGTTAAAAAAACTGATAATGACCGTGCAGTGATGCCTGCTAGCGTGTTGCTTCATACATTTTTTGATAAGTACTCAACACGTTTTTCTCAGTTATAGTGTCACGAGTAACATAAGTGTTTTTCGTCATTTCATAACAACCGCCGCGTACTGTATAGCTCTATCAACTATTGCAGCATAGGACCTATACGGGCTGTACCCCTTCATAGGTTCAACTTAAAGCTGCTTTCAGTCTTTGCCAACCGGAAAGAGAAAGTTTATACTGTACAAATTGCTGGTTGTTAAAGTTGCGGTATTTCAAATCAGGCTCTCAGCAGTTCTCCATACCTCCATGCCTTTAGCAAAGCGAGCCAGTGAGAAGTATAGCGCTAATAATTGATAGTGCCGGACCTCTCGGAGATTTCTCACCTGCTCGCTTCGGTCGAGACTTTAAACTTTCTGGTTTGTGAAGAAATACTCGTGCTGGAGCGCTGACAGTGAGGGCCTGTTTTCAGTTTACTCTAAGTCCCGTTGCTATTATAAGAGTAAAAAAAAAAAAACAGGGTATTGTAGTTCTTTTACTTATGTCAGATTGAAGATGTCGATGTTACAAATGTACCCCGTCAAGTGGCTGACAATTTGCTCGAGTTTGCTGATAAATGGGCACGGCTACATGTCAGGATGCCCAAAGGCTTAGACGAGGTAAGCTTTAGTACAAGAATTGATATGCAGTCAGAATTACCAAAATCAAGCAATCAGTCAATCAATACATTAGTTGATTACTCAGTAAGTTAGTCACTTGACTTGGTAAAAGGGACTCATGATTTGTGGGTCACACAGTTCAATAGCTAGCCACTCGGTCAGCCAGTGGGTTGTTTAGTTAGACGGTTAGTCAGTCAGTCACTCAAAACAATCAGTTAGTCAGTCAACGGGTCAGCCTGCCAGTCAGTCAACCAGCCAATCAGTCAGCCAATCAGTCAGTCAACCGGTCAGTCAACCAGTCAGTCAGTCACTCTGTCCGTCTGTCGGCCAGCCTGTCATTTCACTTTCATAGTCAGTCTGTCACTTTCAATTAACATGGTAGTGCATAAATTGAATCATTAAATCCATGGGTTTTTCTACTCCCTCCTAGTCTAATTGATTTCAATCAGTCCCTTAAATTATTTAATGTATCTTGGGTGTCCTTAGGTCTCTGAGGTGTCTTCAAAAGTGGTTTCTTGGGGAACAGTGACCTTTGACACTGACAACAGCGACTCAGGAGTCGGGAGTACCAGTGGAATATTGGAAAAGGAATTCAAATCAAACTTAGACGCAAGCGAGAAAGTTACTGTGAAAATTGCGGTTGGACTTTGGGGTAGGTGAATCCAGATACCTGAAGTAGCTCGATTAAAAAAAATTCTTACCCCCCAAAAGAGGATTGTCTTGTAAAGAATGCGAACATATGTATGTGCCTCTTTTTTTCCGTTAGGACAACTTTTGCCTCTTGATTTTGAGATATACGGGGGACAGGATGAAAAGTCAATAGACGGAGATACGGGAATCTTCATTAAGGAGATAAAAGAAGGCAGCTCATTGTCAAAAGACGTCAAAGTCGGAGATAAAATTCTTAAGGTAAGATGCATTTTGGTTTCAGACCATACCTCACTTGTGCGACCATACCCTTTATTTCAACCGCTTTGTCGTCAAAGATTTGGGTTCCTGAATAGCTCGTCTCTGTTGATCGTCTTAAAATGCAAAATGTTATTTCAAGATTTTATTGAACTTAGTTCTCTGCCACTTAATCTACGCTTCGATCCACAGGTTAATGGTATTGACGTCACAAATGTTCCTCAGCACGCGTTCTTCAACTTATTACGTGGCGCTGACAAAGAAGTTAAGATGCAAATCGCGAAGACTTCCGTCGCAAAGGTTGGTAGAAATTTTCTATTTTTGATGGAACACACCTAATTTGAAGTTTCAAAAGTGAAGTGGTATTTATGCTGGGTGAGAGTGCTCGTCTTCTAGATCGCTGTGGCCTGGGTTCGATTTTTGGACATGGAATTACTTGTTGGCTAAGTTTTTTGTTGGTTCGTGTCCTTGCTTCCAGATTTCTTCTGTCGGTTTTCATTCGGTACAATTTCCGGTTAGCTGTTCAAGTATGTAGTTAGTTACCTTTTCAATTACTTTTAAAAAATGATTTATTTATTGTTTACTGCTTTTTGTCAGGATGATACAGAAATTCGGGTTTTCGAAGATGAGGAAACTGGGGAGAATGAAAGAATTATAGAAATTTCAACTGGTCCTAAAGGTAATGGAATTGTAATTTTGCAGGACTAACCATGCTAAACTCAACGTTTTAAAATGAAAGCTACGTGATCTACTTTCTTCTCAGCTTGCAAAATTTATCTTGCAGCTAATTAGGATATTCCAAAAGACTGAATTCTGTATACCGTGAACCTCTTGCAATTCGAAATGACCAGTGTAAAATTTAAGCAGTTTGCCTGTTTTTGCCTTCAGGTCGCACTTGTTTTTGATGATGTTAACCTTGGAGGACTTTCGATCCAGCGGAAATAGAGTGCGTTAATAACCAGGCCGACCTATGTTAGAGAATCAGAGTTAAAATAATTTCAACATTCTGTTCACAGGACGGATTGGTAAACTTGGATTGAAGATCAATGGTGGACGAGATAGGCCTGTTGTACCAGGAGATCCCGGGATTTTCATAACAGCTGTCAAAAGGGGAAGTTTATTGAAAAGAGTCATTGGCCCTGGAGACAAAATACTTAAGGTTGGTAACTTTCCAGAGAGAAATGCAAGTTTTTTTTTGATCTTCAATAAGATAAAGATGCACTGAGAATGCGTTCTACGCAGCCGTTAGACGCGTCAGAAGATTCTAGAGGTCGTGATTAAATGCTCAACTGTGATTGGAGGATTTCCATTTGGAATTTTAAAAGGAGGATCAGACCAAACCTCTGTACAAAACCAAAGATATCCTCTCATATCAAGGTCTTCCGTTTATTTAATGTTTTATTTTTATTACACAGATTGATGGTGCGAATGTAACAAACGTTCCATTAAGAGTTGCTTTCGACAAGATAAAAGAAGCAGACAGACGAGTGAGGCTACACATCAAAAAAGCGGATACCAGTGAGGTATGCCTGCATTAAAAAAAGGTTCACTCCTATTACAAACGCATTCGGGACTTTTTTTTCAGCGAAACCAATGGTTACTTTTCTTATCCTGTGAATAGCCTATATCGTTAGAAGCTCTGCGACCCACAGACTGAAACTCTTCAACAGGCTTGGCTTGAAATTGATACGGCCTTGTGGACTTTGAGATTGTCGTGATGACCAATTAACCCTTTACACCGTAACATCAATATGCAATTTCTCCATACTGTTCTCTATACATTTCCCAAGGTGCTGACAAGGAGAAATGGTTTAACGATCAATAGCTTCTTTAGTTGGTGACTGTTTCCTTTATTTCCGGATTAGCGAAATGAACTGCGAATTCTATTTTAATCTAAGGTTAGAGTCACTTCACCGCAAAATTTCAGACCTCACACGTTATGCTTCCTTCGGCACCCTTCATGCTTTACGTTTCAGGTGCAACGATGATCTTGGAGCAGAAATATCGGCCTGTAAGAGCGCATGCCAACCCAGCAACACTTTAAAGCCGATATGGTTGTTAGTTCCTGGGCTTGTTCCGAAGTATGCTTTCCCAGTTATCCGCATTTTTTCTTCCTCCACAAAGTACAAAAACGTGGATGATTCACTGCTGCTTCACTTTTCAGAAAACTGTTTGAATCAACTACTTAGCAGGCACCGATGTCACTAAAATAGGCACATACATAGTTGAACACTGTATTTTCACTTTGCAGCATGACATTTCGGAAAGAAAACGAAAGAGTTTCGCGCAGCAGGCCGCGAGGTCTTTTTCTGAAGAGCAGTTGCAAGGTTAGCGTTTGTATCATCTTTAACCCTGAAAAAGTTGTCGCCTCAGACTTAGCCATCTTATGAAAGGCGATTGTCTTCTTTTGCAGAATACAAGACAGCATTTTCAGTGTACGATAGAACAGGATCGGGTAAAATATCTCTGAAACAAGTCATGCAACTATGTCGTTCGCTTGGCTATAATCTCACATCAACCGACAGGGATGTCATCACTACTGAATATAGCTTAACAGGTGAGACCGTCACGCCAGGCCTTGATAAACCAAGTAGCCCATCCTGTATAAGCTTTTTCGCATTTCTGTAGCAGAAAGTTTTTGAAAACATTGCCATTCCTCCCTGGATGGTATCCTGGCCATTGCAAATCTCTCCTCCCAGTATTTCGTCGGATTTTCCTGTTAGCTCGCCGATATCTAGTATGATTACGTGGAGAGATCAATTCGCCCTCAGCACGATGGCCTGGGCGCGAACTTGGACCTCTCAAGGGACCGGACATTATTTATCGCTAGGGGGGGTCGGAAGGGGATCGGTGTCATGATGAAAATTTACCCGATCCTCCATAAGGCTCTGTAATGTTCTACTGTTTCCCCTTTATTCTCTGCTGGCGACGACTGATCCTCACCCTGTCCCCCCTGAAAACCATCTGCTCAACCAAAAATCCTTCGACCCCTCCCTAGTCGATGAATAAATGAATGATTCTTAGCACTCCATTAACCAATAACTAATTAATAACTTGTCGCTTGTCATGCGATACTTAAAAGATGAAATCCAAAACCTTGTCTCTTTTCGTGTAGGTGACGGTAAAATCTCTTTCCTGGATTTCATTCCAATAATAACCAAAATCAGCTCTTTTCATCAAAGCGATTCAGATCTGATGAATGCATTTGAAGTGTTCGACCGAGAGGAGAAGGGTTTTTTCAGACTACATGAGCTTGAAGACGCTTTAAAAAAAATGCCGGGTTCGGAAGAGATGACAGAGGATGAACTTGCGGACATTCTTCAGTTAGCAGATCCCGATGGTGATGGACATGTTATCTTTGAAGGTTGGTAAGAGAGGAATTGAAAATAGAAAAGCAAAAATTAAAAGGGTCGTTTTTTACATCTCTTTTAGCTCTCGAAGGTTTCTTCCTTTTTCTTTCCTTTTTTTTCTTTTGCTGTAGTGTCTCTTGCTCCTTTACATCCTTCTTCTCTCTCCCAACCCAGCTCTTCTCTCTCTTCTCTCTCCTTTCCCTTTTTCTGCCCCTTAAACTCTTCTTTCCTCTCCTTCAGTATCTCTTGTCTTTCACACAGATGCGTACTTTCTATTAAATTCTATCTTCCGCTTTACTTGCGCATCCTCCTCCTCTTCCTTTGCTTTCTCCTTCTTCGATTTCCCTTTCTTCGGCTTCTCGTCTACATCCTCATCCGCCTTGTCTTTCTCCTTCTCCTCCATACCGAACTCCTCCTCTTATCCTTCTGCTGCCTTCTCCTTCTCTCCTCTCTTTTCTCTTCTCAGATCACGTAGGAACCCTGATCGAATGTAACGTTACTCCTCGCCTGATAATTGAGGAGGAGAACTAGGCCGTTATCCAAGGTTACTACAACTGTAATGCCAGTGCATTCTGACTTCTAATAATTACAATAATACATTTCCTTGTTTTCTCTCCAGAATTCCAAAATCTCATGTTGCCTCTCTTCAACCAAAGCTAATCCAGAAAATTTCTATGTTCGCTAAATTGCGACAAGACAACTATGGCCAATGATGAAATTATTTAACAGTATGCGCTAAGGACAAGAACTGAAACCATAACCAACATCAGAATAATATTCTTCCGACATCGAGGAAAAGTATTTGGACCATGATCGGTTATGAATGCAGCTAATGTTGGCATAACATAGTTCATATATATGATGTGGATTGGCAAAATCTCGCCAATTTATGGCAAAATTTCATAAAAACCAATCACTGGATGAAAATTTGCAGATAAATACGCATAGTATAAATCTATTTTGGTGAAAGTTCATGTTTTAACGGAAAACGCACAGCTATCGATCGATTACTGGCCGGGAAGTATGTCATTTGACAAGATAAAGGAGGATTATCCTCATGAATCCTCTAAAGAGGAATGAATATGTTTTTAGACTTATTTTTTTAGATGAAGTAATTGGTTATCCACGCTGAACAGGATTTAAATGATAGATAATTTTTTTTGACTGTCATACAGTGAAGTCTTGATCCGCTCAATAAAAGAAATTTGTATATGATCATGATCCTTCAAAAGTTACCTTTCCTTAGCCTTCAATTCATGAAAGTAACGTATGATGTGTGATACATTGTTACTTTAAAAACGTCAGGACCCCATGACCATTATAGACTTCTGAAAACGTGTGTCTGAAATCGAAAACTGTGTCTCTTTTCTCGGATGTGTTGAGCAACGTACATATAAATCCCTTTTTTCCGCCCTTTACCCCACTCTTGCAGGTAAGTTATGCTTCGTTAGATGTGCTTCAATATGTGAATCGTGACGAAGTATATTGGTCTAACCTTTTCTAGACACTGTACATTGTGACTTTCTTAACGCTTTTTAACTGAAATGGGGTGTTGCCATGTAGACACTATTCAGGGACTTATTGGTCTGATTATTTAAAAAGTTTAGCCGTTTTTAACAAACCCACGTCCTAACCAATCCACAATTTAGTTGAACCGTTTATCTAACCATTTATTTTTGTTAACAACGTCAAGAGATTCGAAAGCTCAGCTAACAGTGGAAGGATATTCATTTCATCAAATCAACTCTCTTACAGGGAGAGTCTGGAGCCAACTGATTGCGTGAAACCGTGGTTTGGGTTAGACCGCGTGTAAATAAGCGGCCCAATGTATTTTCCTCCCATATGCATTGTTTTCCATTGATCTTGGTGCGACATTGGTTTCTAAAGTCAAAGTTAACGTATTATTTACCTGATTATGTTATGTCGCACTATATAGTAAAAAACTTCACATTTGCAGCTTTGTAAGTACACTTATCGCCGTTTATTATAACAGGTCATCGCACTTCGTAACAAAATAGGCTGTCACACCTGTTGCACTTTGTAATAAACTTGGAATGGATTGTCGTATGGCACGTAGAACTAATGAGATACGACAGCTTTTTTCATTACAAAGTACAACAAGTGTTATTAAAAATATGTCAGTTTCATTACAGAGTGTGACAAGTATCACAAAATGAGACGCTTCTTATAAAGCGCGGAAGAACAGATCATATACTGGTTTTACCTCACCGAATTAATATGTTGAAGTTCATTCTGTAGCTAATGAATGAATGTGTTATTCTTTGATCTCACTGGTTTGTCAATTCACTGGTTTATTAATTTTGCACTTATTTATTATTTCTTTATGATAATTTTTATGTGTGTAAACATTCCATTTCTGATATTCGTTGTCGGGACGTAACGAGGAAAACAGCTTCGAGCCATATGGTAAGTCTGAAGTTGTTTTGTTAAATTTTTCCGCTGTCCTGTCAAGATTTGGTTTTACTGTGCCTTCATCTTGAGCATTATTGTGCTCAACTTTCCAAAGATGTTTTATAGAATTTCGCACGGGGAGAAATTTGACGATATGTTTGAACTGAATGAGACAATAATGTAAGAGTATTCTGTTCATTGAGAATACAGCGCATATTGCAACTTGTAGACCGTGCAGTATCTGTAATCCTTTAAGAACTATGGAGGTGCTCTGACCTGTACCTATTTATTCACGGAGAAGACACAGCTCGTGTTATTCTCTAGTTTACATGTCTCTGAATTAATATGGTTTACAAATTTCAAATGCTACTTAGAAAAACAATTCTATTGAGCGCTCTCAGTTATCGCTTGAATTTGACGTGACAGCATAAAGGAAGGCGAAATCTGCTGTCAATGTGACTCAAACATGTTTGGGGCCTGGACAGACCAGCCAGTAAACCAAACCTTGTGTTCATCGCTTTAAGGTGTGAACGAGGGTAAAGCATTGGAGAAAGTTCATTCCAGCCGGTGTTAATCTCTTGTCAATAGAGGTGTTTAAAACATTAGAAAATATGCATCTGCTCCTGGCATCTATAAATAGAAAGTACATATATTTAATGGGAAAATAACAGCAGTAGAGAAAGATGATAAAGATTTGGCAGAAGCGTGAGGCAATGCAACATATCGTTTCCCCCCAACGATGATTCGAGTTTTGCGCTACAGGCTGACCATCCTGTAAAAGTAACATTAATACTGAGATTTTTCGGACCACGATGCGTGGAAAATTTGTTTATACGTCCTCCATTCGTGATCGCCACACATTTATGCTTATTTATATAGAATGTATTACATTTCAACACACACTAGGTTGTCCACCTGTGCTAAAACCTTCTCATACTGCATTCTAACGCCCTCCTACTTAAGCTTCGAAGGCCTTAGTGGATTGAGGAACTTTCAGTTGACTTTGGACTTTGCGCGAAACCAAGCTTAGATGATTCCGAATTCTTGATGCAGGGTCAGAGTTGCAATATTTTATCAATCAGAACTAATTCAGGCATTAATTATCAGGGACTGACAGAATCAACACCGTGGAGTTCTCCAGAAAACAGAGCTGAAACATTACAACAAGATGGAGCAGAAACATCATCATTAAACGAGAAATCAAAGAGGCAGGAACGAGAACAGGATCCACGTTCTGTTGAAATGATCGTTGAGGTACAAGTGACTGGTGATTGACCAATAAATGGATAGTTTTACTTCGCTTCGCTCATTTGATTAGTCTTGGAAACCTCTGAGCCATAGTCAGATGCAGCCAGGTGCATGTCTGAATCGTTACCTCGTCGCTCCCTGTTTCATGCACTTTGGACTGTTGGCTTGCTTTCACTTTGAGATTGCGTCGTCAGCGGCTTTTGATATTTACATTTTCTACAATTGGCCGTTGTAATTAATTCGATTTTGGTACCGCAACCCTCAGTTGAATAGCGCTGTAGTGTTATGCCAGTAAGGATCAGTCAGAATTTATCACCAGGGGAGGGCGGAGGAGAGAAAGGGGTGGAAGATTTTAGGGGGGGTCACATAGTCGTTAGGGGAAACGGAGGGGAGAACAGTCGTCGCCAATAGAGTATAAATGGGAAACTATAGAAAACTGACTACCAATTAGCTGTCAGTGAAGTGGCGGATCGCCCGCCCCCCCCCCCCCACTTTCACTTTCTCAGGAGATAAATAAGTAAGCAATCACAGTTTTCATTGTCACTCTCTTTGCAGGTCAATGCAACCCCTGATGAGCGTGCGCAAGACCGAAATATTGCTGAGCACACGTTTCATGGGGTAAAGGGTCACCTGAGACCAGAGAACAACAACAGGCCCGAAACAAAGAACAAAAAAATGCTGCATGCTGCAAAAATGGTTCAACAAATGACCAACGTTACGACATTCCTTTCTTCGTTAAAAAAAGAGCCAGACTATGTTTTTGTGGACATTCCAAAGCATCCTGACGGTAAGCTACTGCTAGATGATTCACTTTATCTGAAAATGGTGTTGGATTATATGTTTACAAGACTTACCAATTGATTGACTGATTATTGATTGATAACTTGATTAATCGATATGTTTGAGTGTTGAGCAAAGTGACTCTGAAAATAGTGTCTTACAGTCTGTCTGATAATTTATCTTACTCTCTCACTGCTTAACGTATAACTGTCTGAGTGACTGAGTAACTGAGAGAGATAAAAATGACCGACGGAATGGAAACTGACACATAAATATTTGAACTGACGTGCCATTAAGTGAAGGATAGATAAATCACCGGATCGACTAATTGACTAACTGGATTCTAGTTCACTGGTTCTTTGCATCACTCACGAACTCGACCCAACTCATTTACTGACTCCTTACATAACTGACTGACACGAGTTCTACTTTCGGTGAGCGACTTTTTTTTAATTCAAAAACATATCAACCTGCCAGTTCTGATTACAATACCTTTACAGACCGGGCAGCTGACTTAGGATTTACCTTACATGGTGGTACTGGTAGTCCTGTCATTCATGGAGATCTAGGTATTTTTATCGACAAGGTGATTCCCGGCAGCCTGGTGGACAAGAAGCTGAGTCCAGGGGATAGAATACTATCAGTAAGCTCACTTCTTTGAAACAATTTTCAACATAATGATAACCAGGAAAATTTGTGTTGAGTACTTCTAGAGCTTTACAAGTTGATTATAGATATTCAAATTATAACACCACTACTACCGCCGCTGTCGCCACGGTAGCTAGCATTATTGTCATTTTTTTTTTCCTCCGTGCCATTTCCTTCCTTTCCTTTCTCTCCCATTTCCTTGTTATTTTCCATTTTATCCTCTTCTTCGTCATTTTTCTCATTCTCACCATTTCGCTTTAATTCATCCTCCTCTTTCTTCTCCTTTTCCCTCTTCCATTCTTTACCAATCCCTCCTCACACCCTTCCATCTTCAGCCTCTTCCTTCCCTCTATCATCACCACTAACATCATTATCCTTGCCTTGTACCCATTACTCATTCGGTTCTGTTTGTTAACAGTACTTATTCCTATTTTAAGATAAACGGACTCAATGTCACTAAAGTACCGCTGACATACGCACGCCAGGCAGTGAGAAAAGCTAGGGGAACGGTCAAACTTTACGTCAAGAAAGCCCCAAAAAGACAGGTATCAATTAAAGTTGTAAGTGCCTTACACAACGCTAATACTGACTTATTTGCATCGATTATCACATGATATCAGTTTGCTTCGAATGTGGCCTCCTACGAATACTTTTTTGGATTATAACGCAACTGTTTCGGGGGGTTTGCGCGACGTCCCGAGTGAAGCATTTCATAGAAGGCTTAGTGGACTGATAATAGTTGGAGTACAGCAAGGGTATGAGATGGGCTCCACCCAGGGCCCCCAGACCCTGCTTGAAGGTAAACCGTGGAGAGAATGGGTGTTGGATATGCCAACAACTCTACGTACGGTGTGGAGCACGAAGCTTGTCTGCAGATGTCAAGAGTAAGATAAAAACCTTAATGGGTCATAAAATTGTTCTCGCCCTAGCAAATAATTAACAAAGCCATAAGGAAAGAGAACGAACAAGACGTTCCCTTGTTCAGCGACGAGCAGATCGAAGGTAATTTCAATTTTGTTGTTTGGTGTAATTGCTACAGTTTTAAACAACATATACATCTTTAGAATCGATCTTTTCTATTAAGCTAACTAGAATTTCGAAGTTTTTCTTGCGATGAAACGACTATCTCGAGTGGCTGACGAACGAATAAAGAAAAGAATGATCTAATAAATAATTATTTGACCAACTAAGTAATTACAACGGACTGATAGACAAAATAACTGAATGACTCACCGGATGAGTGACTGACTTACGGAATAAAGGAGGCAAGTTCTTATAGAAACTTTGAACTGAGTTGATAAAGTATATTGGCCACCTCAGACTGGAGCATCTAAAGCTGACGTTACGAGCATTAGTCCCTCCTCAGAGCGAGCTAATACTGATCAACTGGCAGATTATCTAACTGGTTGACTTTTTGATTGACTTCTTGGCTGATTGACTGACAGACTAATTGAACTGCTGACTGGCTTGCAGCCTGACTTACTCATTGACCAACCAATCGCTGAGTGATTGGCTAACTGGCCAAGCAAGATCAAAGAGAAAAAACACTTACTGTTTTGTTTCTTCTTATTTACAGAGTTCGAAGATGCTTTTTCCGTTTACGACGTACAAGGCACGGGAAGAATCAAACTAGGAGCCGTTTTTCCTCTGATTCGTTCACTGGGATACAATCCTCTCGAGGCAAAAGTTTGGGTCTTTATGAATGAACTGGACTTAACAGGTGGGATGTACTGTAATTGGTCGATCCAATTATACTCAGATCAAACTAAAAGACCGTCAATTTTTTATCTGTATGTCTAGTCAGTAGATCACTGGTGTCCAAATATTGTCACAAAACTGGCCCACATGGAGAAAATGATTCACCTAAGGCTGATAAGTGCGTATGAAAACTTTAAGGAACATTTCCATCCCCAAAGTCAAAGGGTCATAATTATCCGTTCGAGAAATGAAGTCAATGAAATTTTTTTTATGCTTCTAGAAAATGTTCATATTTCAATGTTTATTCTTTCGTATCACTAGCAAACCGGAAATTGAAGTTTGAAGAATTTGTAAGACTAATGGAGGCCTTAATAATTGATGAAAACGAAAACGAAGAACCCTCGCTTGATTCAATCCGGGTATTTGACCCAGAAGAACTCGGCTTCGTCAGCTCCGAAGATCTGAAGATTGCTCTGAAAAGCATGCCAGGAAGTGCTTACATGAGTGACTTCGAGCTACGAGATATTCTTCAAAAAGCTGATCCTGACAAAGATGGAAAGATAGATATTCAAGGTAATTATTTGAAGGGCTACAGTTATCTCCTGAATATTTTTTTGGTGGAAAAATTTTCGATGGGGAGGGGAGCTAAAATTTTACAGCAGAATGAACTTTTGTGTTTAGATAATGTCTTTGTTATTCTTGGTGACCGGTTAACGCGGTCATTATTTATTGTTGGGGGTGGTGGGAGGGGTAGGGAGTCACGAGGAAAGTTTCTTACGTGATCCCCCTAAGGCTCTCTAATATTTTTGCGATCCCCCTCTCATTCACAGTTAGTTTGAAGTTAATTTTATATACTGTTGGGGACGACTGATTCCCCCAAATGGCGACGACTGATTCCGGCAACTTCATACCCGTTTTTGAGATAATTCGATAGTGGGGTATGCGCCAAGTTTCAGGGCTTATAGAGAATAAAACAATCAGAAAAAAACAACCTAAACAAAACATTAAAGAAAGAGATTGAAGAATGAAACTTCACACGAATTTTCATAGTTTTGGTAGTCACGTTTATAAAGGTTGTTATGGAGTTTCTTAAATCCTCGAATTAGCGCCTTCTCTCGAAACGCGCCCCCTTCAGTTAAGCGCTCTTTCGAGCGCGCCCCTCGTATTTGTTAAATCAAGGTATTTACCACACTCAAGAAGTTGAAAGAGAAACAAGTATAGATTCTCGAACCTCTTTTATTTTTCCCCGACAGATTTTCAACGTCTTTTGGAACCGTCGGTGAGACTAAAATAGCTGAAGAAAAATCCTGGTCTAGGTTCTTGTTATAACTATTGTGATTTCAAAATATAAACTGTGAAATGAAACTTAAAGAATGTTAAAAATGCCATCCTCTTCAGTGAAGATCTCAAGGGACCATCTCAAAGCCGAGGCCAAAGAGAACTGGTGCATAAAATGGAACGGTAACAATGAAATATAAACCTCAGACTTCATAATTCTTAGGCCTTTCACATATAAACTATAAGGATGCGAACAACGAGATGTTATTATTTTTCTGTCTGGAGTTACGCCTTTTGTTTGTTAACTCTTTCAACTTGTCCTTATATTATGTCTTACTGACTCTTCTATCGTTTATTGAATCACAGAGGTTTACACATAAGCAAAATATGTCTTTTTTATTAACCTACGGTTCCCTGCAAAACGGTTGAAAAGGAATTCTTAGTCCTCAAAATTTGTTGGTGGGCATGTACCCTAGACTCCTCGAACGATTTGCGTCCTCGACACTCGATTATCTCTCTAATCGGTTCCCAATCGGCGAAAATGCACGCAACAACCCTGTCCGTAGTCAAAAATTGTTAAATTAGGAGTAGCCCAGAATCTGATAGCGTCTCTTGTAGCTGCAGTGTGCAAATCTGTCAGGCGTTCCCACCAACCGTGAGGCTCGTCCGCGAGGAGAATTGTACGAGTAAACACACGGCGCAAACGGTGATGAATGAAAAGTAACACTATCATTAAAATTCTTAAGCGAGTCAAGTGACAGCTCATGTTTGTAAAGTAGGTAAAATATGTGTAAAATCGTTGTCTGAAAAACTGATATCGATAGTTCAGAAGGAGAAGATTAAACCGTGTGGTGAAGGAACAATTTCAAGGCTTATCTCAAAAGAGCGAACACAAAATTACAACGAATGACACCCGTGGAAGCTTCAGATCCTCATCTTTGCAGTAAAAATGTTCAGTTGGAGTAACTTTGGAACCAGAGGTACTGTTCACGTTAATGTTGGCATATTTAAACCGTCTCTACACCAACAAAAAAATCTCCTCCAATTCTGAAGGCATGCAAAGAATTTTGTGAACTGTTAGCGCTGAACACCACTGTGGTATTTGAACCAGTTTCTTGGGTTGAATTTGAAGAAGGCTCTCGTTCTTGAAATTCTTGAGGAATTTCACTCTCATTTGAACAGTAAGAGCAAATCTGTTTGCTTATGATCATTATGTGGAATGACCTAAAATTAATAGTTGGGTTTCATGGGGCGTGAATACACAGACATCAAGGCTTTGACTGATATGTAGTTGCTCAATACTGTTGCCCAGCAACGTGGTTTGGAACGTTTTGTTGCAGTTTGTGATACCTTGAGGTTTTTTTTTTTTTTTGCGATGTTAGGACTTCTTTTTAAGTTATCCAATGTTAACCTCACTCAACTTAAAAGTGATCTTGATATCCTGCTTTATCAGGTTAATGACTTTATATCATGGGTTAGCAGTACAATATACAAGGCTTTCTAGAACCTATTTAGAATTTGGTTATGGCAAGTAGCCAAACACAGGGGCAGGCCAGACAATTAGAGAAGAGGGAACCATAAAATTATGACTAGAACCTTCACAACCATATAGCAATTTCTTTTTGCAGAATTCTAGATTACATAAAAATGTGTTTAAAATTCATTAAGTAAAGGGGACCCATTCATTGCTCACCCTCTTACTCCACCCATGACATAACACATTTGCTGCTGTGCTACAGACCATTTATTCATGCAGCTTAGATTGAGGGTCTGGAAAGGTGAAGCTGGGGTGTGGCATCCAATTAAATGTTTAGATGACAACAGATACTATCCCACCAATCATCCCACCAATCATCAGTTATTTACTGATTAGCTAAAGATGTGGCCACATTTTAAACAATGTGGCAGCCATTAAGACAAAAAGTACCGTAAAGTGTCAAAGCCATTCTTGAATGGAGGGTTTCTCCTTCTGTGTGCTCTATGATTTGTTCCACAGAAATTTAGCAAAAATTCAGTAAGGTGTCATATTTTTCTGGCATGTTGCAATGCTTTATTAAAACTTCTAATGCAGATGTAAAGCCAAATTCTTCCAAGTAAATGTTTTTAAAAATTAAATTAATAACAAATAAACAACATAAATTTGGTCAGCTAGATAACATATTTGATAAAATTTTGGCAGTCCTGGAATTTCCAAGGCCTTTTTAGGATTTCTTTCTATTTTTTACTAAATATAACTCTTAATTTTCTATTTCTTTGGTCACTTTTCTCAAAACAAAAATTTTACTAAATATTATCAAAGCACTAAAAATTCGACGCTATCTCAAAATAAGAGTCAAGGAATTTCCTTGTCTAAGATTACTATGTATTAAGTTTGCTAACAGTGCTGTTAAAAGAACGAATCTAATTGGACAACGATTAGTTTGTGCATTATCGATAACGCACCTCAAGTATTTCCTTATCGGCGATTCTATAATCGATAGTCACTCGTTTATTCTGTGTTAAGCTCTCTTCCAACATCCGGGTAATTTCGCGGTTCTTGTTGCCATGGGGAAGCTTAAGGTTTTGGTACATCTCTATTCCCGTATACACACTGACCACGTGACGTTCCCAGGCGATACTCCACTCGATCCCAGGCTTCATCACCACGCCTCGTATCTCCATGATCTCGGCCTCGTCATCATCGTCATCGTCTTCCGCTGTGGCTTGGTCTTTTCTCTCTACGTCTCGATTCATTTTGAACATTCAATTGTCGAGCTGAAATTATATCTACGGAAACATTTAAAGCAAGAGTAAATATTGCAGATATAAATCATGAATCATGGCCGTAAATCACAGCCAACAATCCAGACTCATTTTTGTTGTGAAACGTTTGGTTGCAACCTTGAATATAGGGGAGGGGAATGAATGAATTTCTGCAAGGACGGTTGACAATAAACGATAGGAAAGAGAGTGTGGAGGGAGGGAGGGAGGGAGATGGGAATTCACCTTCCCGCTTAACTGTAACCTTGCTCAAAATATAGTGCCCTATGAAATTTTTTAGTCGGCTGTCGAAGTAATACTTTTTTTAATCACACCTTCGTTATTGTAGTGGCTAATGCTTTTAAAGTCGTCGGTATCTTTAGTGTCGTCATCAATATTGTGCTGTAAGGGTAAGACCTTATCATGGTTAATTATATTAGATATGGTCTAATGTACTGTTTATCTGGGAGAGTTTAATTAGTTTATAAAGCGATAAGAAAGCGCTGTTTTCGTTGGAACGTTTCGTAAGAAAAGTCCTCTCGTTTCTGACTACGTACAACATCGTTCCCTAGTTGCAACGGGTGACGGCCGAATGACTACTGTACTGTAACAAGACCCTTTATTTCTTAGATCTCACTTAAAAGCCGTCAAAGGGGTGACATAAATATTCGTGGAATTTTACCGATTAATCATCGGAATTTTGCACTTTATGAAGGTCACAACCAAAGGTCGCGAAATGACGGATAGCAATAGATTACGAAACGTCAGAAAGAGTCAAAATAAGGCGCTTTTATTTATAACTCATATGCAAAATATACTGCGGAAGTTTGAACTGTTATGCGCCGAATGAGTTCGACGAAATTGAGACCGAAAAGGAGCTGCACTAATTGCTGCCAAGATTAACTATCGTTGTTTGAATTCAAAATAAAAGTTTAATTGTAATCTATTGATCAGATCTCAAAATCCTGTAAATAAATGCTGTATGTTCGGATTTTTCTGATGAGCACTGCCACTTTATTGTGTAACCTAAACATTGGACGATTAGCGGTTTACGGACTCAACATAAGGAGGAATCACACTGCCTTACCTACGTGTTTCGGTGTGAACTGCCAAAGAGAAACTATCGTAACAGCTTTAGCGCTGATATGCTATATTCGGGCGGGGTAAATTAGGAGCTGTCTGTATACCATTATGTTAGCATTAAAATTATCTGGCGCTCATCACTGTTGTTAAACCTAGGCAATTTAACCCATAGGAACTTTTCTTGGAAGAGTTTTCAATTCTCTCTCATCTCTGTTAAGTCCGACTCATTGTACTTACAATTGCTTCAGTGGCAGATGATCCGTGTATTCCCTTAACATCCAATAGCTTTTGACGGTTCGATGGTTATGCGAAAAACACTCGGGTCTCTTCAGATGTATAAATAGCGTGTGATGACAGGTATGAAAACACCGGCTTAGTTCAATGATCGATAGTTATTCGTTTCTTAATCTCGTGACCCGATACTGAGATCTCGATAGCTCGATAGATCACCAGCCATCGCCATCATGGCTGCTGGTCGTCTTTGTTGTAGGAGAAACTTAAGCAGATCCCAACTGTAATTAAGATCTTTTGTTTTCTTGTTTATCTTACTTTTAGATTCTTGAATTCAATGCGTTGATACTTGTTAGTCTTTTTTAATAAGTTTATTTACTCAGAATTCTTGAACTGTCCTCAGCTAAAGGCTTCCATTTTTGAGATTTTCGTCAGCCAATATGGCAGTTTACTCTGAGTTTTAAGCTTTTTCTTCATGTTATGTTTGGGGCATGTTTTCTTTACCTCTATCGCAGATATGCCGGCCCTATGTAAACAGTAGATCGTAACTGACTTTGACAGGTATACTTAACATTTGCTTCGAGTTATTTTCGTTTAAGTCCATGCTTAAAAACAGAAACAAGTGAACATGAAAGCATGCGGCTTTTTGACGATTTCAAAGAGATATCGTGAAAGTTGAAGGAGCAAAGAAGTAGCATTTAAAAGAAAGAGGGAACCGTTTGTTTCGGTTAACAAAGAACTTGTCGATATATGGGACTGAGAGGGTAGGAGTTGTTTGGAAGAGTCTCGAAAAATCAGAATCTGTTCAGAATAATTATAATTAGGAAACTCTCTGAAGGTGGTTAGCCTCGAAAAACACCTCAAACTGAAACGTCGAATCTTATTGATCAAACACTTCGCAGCATAACACATGGAAAAACGGGAGAACACAAGTAAAAAAGACAAAGTTGCTAAAAACGCTTTTTATTGTTTATATCCAGAGGCAATAACAGCTTGTAAATTGTATTCATCTAAAAGAGGATGCATGAGAAAGACTGAATGTGCCATTTGTTTTTGGCTTGGTCATAAAATAATAACCCTCAATATTATTTTTCACAACTTCAAAAATCCCAGGAGAATCTTTAGAACCTATTCCTGTGTCAAGAATCAACATGTGCTGGTTCTGTTATAGATTACTTTCCACGAAAACAGGCAAAGCAAAGTGAAGCAATGCTTATGTCGCGTTATTATCAGGAGACCAAATGACCTTTCAACAAGGGCGTAGCTAATGAGGAGGGGGTCTCGGGGTGCCCGTGACTCCCCCTTTGTAAGCCTTTTTTTTGTTACATTGGGTAAAACACGGCGTAGAGGTCGACATGACAATCTAGTGTTTACCTTCTGTTTGGCACAGTGTGACCCCCCGCCCCCCTTTGAAAAATCCTGGCTACGCCCCTATTCAATATAACTTTAAAATGATCTGAGGAATGAAGGGTCCATTTTCTTGCTCAGTCAGCGCTATTAATCACATTCGTCAGAGCCTAATTTCAATCAGGTAGTTCATAATCTAGTAGCCTCGTTCTCAGGCTAGAAGTTCCATGTAATTATCTTCTTCTTGGCTCGCCACTTGAACGGAATTCTGGTCCGCAGCTGGTGTCGAGCATGGGCCGGCTGCGTCCACTTGATGTGATGGAGAGCCCTGTGCTGGTTTTAGCGTTTCATATAAATTACTGATTGTTGTTCCCGATGACGTAGGCGGTGCCTTAGCATTCGTCACTAACCTGCTATCATCAACAATATCAACATAATCGGGGATATCTTCGTTTGCATTCTCATTGGTGCTCGGGCCCTGCTCGACCAGGGAAGGCTGGACTTCTTCTGGGAGTCTATCTCGCAGCTGTAAATGTTCGTAGCGATTCACCTTTCCATTCCCATCATCCTTACTGTGTTCCAATCCTTTCGGTTTAAGAGACTGGTAACTAGCAGCCCTAACTGATTTTACAATCTCCTTCCTTTCTGCGTGTTGATTGGGCGACTTTTGGGGTCCGTGTTCCAAAATTTCTATGTACTCCTCGGACATCGGATCTAATACACATGATTGCAGCCGCTGATAAACATGTTGCTCCATCTCCCACTGATCAGCGGCTGCTTCTCTCGATAGTTGTTTAGAATTTTCATCTTCACTTGGGTCGGCCGGCTTGATTCCGTTTTTCTGGATTAGTAAGTTGTTTTGTCTGATATTAGTAGACGGTTCTGTGCAAATGTCGCTCTGTATCCCCAAATTGTCTAGCCCTGCTTGTGATCCAGTTCTTCTTGATAAGGTGCTCTGTTGCACGGCCGTCAAATGACGTTTTTTCTTTCGTTTTCGTTTGCAGCACACGTAGTAGATTAAGCAGACGTTTACAAGGCAGGATACTCCAAGAAGAAATCCCAAGACTATCATAATGATTATAGGCAAAACTGTTATGAAGGCAAATACAAAATTTCATCAGTGGTTAATATTAACATAATGGATATCTTACCCCACTATCTATCGTCTGTGGGAAACGTAGTTACTTACTGGCTGGATCTAAGATCATCAGATTAGGATTCGAGCCTTGGCCGAGTGATTGAGTTGCACTCTGCTCTCACAGAGCTGCGCTGCCCATCGGAGAGTAAGTGGTACCGGCAATATTGCAGGGAAACTTGACGAGATGGTCTGGGTTACCTGGGAAGGTTAGCTTCTCATTGAGGATAATCAGAAATGATTCTAATAAATTAATGTTCAAAGGAAACCACAATAACTCCAGCAGTAGCAGTTTCCGGTATGCTCGTAAGGCTTACGAACTTGCCCCCCCTAAAGTTGATTATAGTAACAGACCTTTCAGTTGGCAAAAGGTTTACCCCCCTTATAATGTAGAGGTTTAAAACAAACAGTACTTTGTTACATATTACTTTCTTTATGAGGGTAGCAGACAACTCCCACATCCATGCTGTGGTCACATGACTCATTGACGTCATGCTTTTTCCATACGTCGTATTCGCATTCTAGCAGTGATCTCTCCCTCCCGGTGCACTTCACATCTTTAAGAAATATAGGTCCTGTGCCTGCGCTAAAGCCAGCCATGGGGACAGCGGCCACTGCAAGCGGAAAGTCTAGCTGTTTGCATATGACAGTGGCATCATCTTTGGTCCAGTGCTTGTCGCAAATTGTGCCCCAGCTCTCCTCGTCGTTGCTTATCTCCACTCGTCCAGCATAAGAAATACTGGAATCGCGCAAACGGACGTAAACTATCGCAGAGTAAAGAGCAATCAGTCAAAGCTTGTAGAGATTTCATTAATGTGACCACTTCCAATAGTTTGTTAAGATGAAAATCTCAAATTGCTTTAACCACTTTTAAGCTCTTTCGAGTAATTTTTCTCGTTGTTTTACCATAATTTACTTGATAAAACAACCTATTCAGAGTTTGATGCGGAGTAGTTCCTTTAAATCCCTGGCTTCAAATCATAAACAGTTGACTGTAATAGCATACGACTATTCAGACTGCATATAAGTTCATTTTTTAAATATACTGGTGTTAAGACACCCACGAAACTAAGTCAAAATCCTAGACACACTGGTTTACTATTTTTCCTTGTTTAAATAGAATGAACTTAGGTCACGCAGAGTAATAGCTACAACCTTGCACAAAAAAATAGAAATTTTGACGCCGCCTCCCGCTCATTTCAAGTATCGTTAAATCGTAACTTTGCGCAGGAAGGCGGTTACACGTTTTTTTTTTTTTTTGCCCTTTTACACTAAACCAGCAGTTTATCTTTCTGATATATTGATGAATTCTTACAACTATCATAGATCTGAAAGGTTAAATATACTGACCCCAATCTCTTCTAGCGCTCAATATACGCGCACCGCCCCCAAAATGTGGAAGAATTTAAATTACTTGTGAAGAAACGGGTTAAGAATTTTGTTATTTGGGCTGATTCCTGGTGCTTACTTTGAAAAGAAAAACTGACCTCAGCATATCCTAATTTTATTAAACTTTTATATTTAACGGGAAGGGCCACTCATCCAGACTGACGAATGACACATTTATAATGGTTAAATCTGTTTCATATTTCTTGGGCAAAGAACTATTTTTGAAATTCTTGTCCTCAACGGCTTTTGAGTCTTGAAGACGGTTCGTGCTGCGAGGAGATAAACGGAGATAAACCCGGGTCCTTTTGAACTAATGTTTTCGTTACAGTTCATGCGATTGGATTTCGCAACTTTTTTAGGTAAACTACGAGTGTTGGAAACCATTAAGTACGATTTTTGACTTTGGAGAGAGCACAATACCTTTTGTGAGTTTCTCATTCTTGGTAGGATTGCTTTTTCCTCCAACTTCCCCAACGGCAACGACAAGAAAAATTGCCGAGGTGAAACTGTTCATGTCCGCGAAATTACGGTTTGTTGATTATGACTGAATAAGGATGAAATCTGAAGATATATGTGTTCGACTGGTCACGACGTACTATAAACATTACATCACGCAATCTTCAATGTTCCTTTCTAATTCTTGCGTGACGCTAGTGGTAGACTGATTCCCAGGATTCTCCCTGCCGCGGGGAGGAAGGAGGAAATGTCCAAGCATGGGTTTTTTTGTGTATGAGAAACCATTTTTTTAGGTGTCTAGAAGATGAAACTACTGATGAAGGTTTGTACAGCTATTTTAGCCTGTAATATTATTTGCATCTTCGTGTGAGAACTCGACTATAAAACAAGTTTTTGACATTTAAAATGATACATGAATGAATCACAGAATATACCGTAGCCTGACCAAGAATTTTGCCGGAACAGTGTTGTCTTGAACGATCAGTCTTCTTCTCGCACCAAGCTCGATTATATAGATTTATAAATCCTCTTTACGTATATATTAGGTTTAATTTTGAAGAGCTGAACACAATTTTTGGTATTGAATGAAAGAAGATCAAAGCGTTCCTAACTTTCCTTGGATGAGCTGGAGTACCCTAAAGCTAGAAGGACAGTTGTCCATTCTTGACGGCAGAGGGAAATTTACAACCTTTCAATTACTTTACGATGAATTACTTTTTTTAGCTAAGTTTTACTTAGCTTTCCATGAATGCTCTTCTCATAGAAAGATTAGTTCATTTAACCTTCACTGTCAAAGGGTATTTAAAATGTATCACACGTGGCTGTATTGACCTCCAATAAGGATAAATCGTTGTCGCAGAACACTTCCTTTGGGGACTCTCCCCGTGAGGGTACAATAACAACACTCTCCTTAGACTCCAAAATCCAAGGACATGTGCCAGATAAGGGCCTTGGTGGTGGAGGGCTGGGTGTTCCCATTGTTTTTGGGTCTTTTTGCTTATTTTTTCTTCGACGTTCGACCACTGTAACGAATGGGTTGCAGTATTCGAATGGTCTCGTTAGCATTTCGACGGTTTTTCGTAATTTTTGAACATGTATGAATAAAGTAATGACTGAAATGACGAGGAGGATGGTGAATACCAGCAGCACATAGACTCCCGCGATCTCCTCCATGCATTCAATGGTGGCGACTTTCTGTGCAAAGTTTTTCTGCCCAGCTTCTAAGAGCAAGAAATGGAAAGTTAGAGATCAATGATTCAACTGATGAAAGCCACTCGTAGTGCCAAATTTTCACACCATACTTTCTTAAAAAAAAAAAAAAAACGCCTACAATTGTCCCTGCACTCCTAATTTGATTTGCGAAGCCACTGGAAACGTCTTCTTTCTGGGGCAGTATTCTCACGTTTTAATTTTATGGTATCTGAGTCGCATTTTTGACGCGTGAAAAAACTAAGTTTAACAGACCAAAAAACGTAAGTTCGGAAGGAAAGGAAACCACAGAAGAGGCCGAGAGAGAGCCAACACGGAACAAGGATATGTCGGATAGTTGTGGGTACACTTGTGGTATAATGAGGAGTTTTCTTATCCAGTTCAAAAGATACACAATATGAAAACCCGGAAATAGTCTTCTAAAGAAAGTTCTGAATATTTGGACGTTGATATCGGTACTCGTTTAATTTCTGATATGTTGGCATGCCAAGACTCAATGGCGTCAAAACATTACCTAGGTCAGGTATTGACGTAAATAGGCAGATTTGCTTGTAAAAAATTGGGATTGAACCAAAACAGATTTCCCGTAACTATTTGTGACTGGTCCAAGACTAGCAACCGTTGATTTCATTCTAACATTAGTTTTTAAGCTAAAGCTGGGGAAAGCCATCAAGAAAATGTTCTTTGAGTGACATATGATGCCCTGATGGCGCTTTTAGTAGCGTTACGCAATTAATGATGATGCACAGTTGACATAGAAATTGAAGTTTATCAACAAAGCTATCGTTACATCTCTATGATTTTAATTACTGAAAGTAAAGAAGTTGTTACTGACCGGTGTCTTTTGTGCGGAAAGCAAGCGAACCATTAATAGTTCGAAAACAACCAGTTATATCTGCTTAATATATGAATCAATGATAACAAGGAAATAGTGTCCTCTAGAAGATTCAGCGCTCATTTTGTACAAGATCCTTATTACACCTTGGTACGGAAAAACTCTAAAAGATTCAGCGTTCATTTTGTGAAAGATCATTATACTCACCTTGATATAGAGGTTAAAAATTAAGAATTAGAATGCATGCTTGTATAAATTTTCAAGTTGAGTGCTGGATTTCAATTCTTACCTTTACAACTGCGCACATTTATTCACACAGGGTCAGAAGATCTGTTCTCGGCAAGACCTCCTTTAGGCTCTCTTTTGAAACTGGAACATCCTTCCACGAAAGTCACACATGATGACAGCCATGCTCATTCGCGTGTGTTACAAAGGCGCATTTCCAAAACAGTCCTAAGGCCGGGCGGAAATGAATGCCCGTCACGTGACTTAGTAGGTCAAACTTCAAACTCGTGTGAGCAGAGATAAAGATTTAAATGACAGTGCGCCCAATCTTAGAAGCATCTAATAGAATTCCCTCCCTCATTTCCGTGTCTAATCACATGAAATTGAGGAATGTGCCAAAGACAAGGATTAACTATGAGGTGGGTGGAAAATGAAGACCTTAAGAAACGGTAAGTGCGAAGCTTTAAGAATCTAAATCGGTTCTTCAGGATCTTAAAAAATTCAGGATGATTTTTTTTCGAGTTCGTCAAGTGAAATTTGTTAGTCGTCTCATCATTTCCTTTAGTCTCGCGACCTGAATGCGTCTCAGGGGTGACATTCTAGGAGAAATTCGATGCAAGTCACTCACAGAGGTTACAAGATTAAGCTTATCCATAGGTAACTAACGAAACTAAAGTAAATACGTTTCAAGGTGTCTACTTCAGAACGTTTTCCTTGGACTGTCTCGTTTACAAGGTCTCAGGAAAACTTCTCAAAGTTAGGCGGCTTTCGCAGGGCGGATAAGGCTCTTCAGAACTTCTTGGTGAAACAACTTCCCGTGGGTCTCTGAAAATTTCCTCGTAGGGTGTTATTTTCAATTCATCTAACCTGGTGAGTTCTTGACAAGTTTTTCATGTCAAAAGTTCTCGTTCAAAACCTGCCATGTAAGGTTTTGGAAAAGGAAGCTTTTCCATCGGTCATAGATATTTTGTCATTCTACGTTGCTAAGGAAGATAAATTAGGGGAAACGTGTAAAAGAAAACTCGGTGTTGTAAAAACGACTTTATCCTTTTACCGCAAGAAAGCTACGCGAAAAAAAACAAGAAAGCCTCATACCATCGAGCGACACTGAGTGAGTTAGAAATTCTAAACAATTACAGGGTTTGACATAGTGCAGTGAGAATTAGGACTGAAATTGAAATTTAACGATCAATTTGTTTTCACTTAAAACTTTACATTTTTAAACAAAAAGTGAGAAATCGTAAATATTGTCACGGCAGGACTGATTTGGCTGTGGTATCCTTCTCTTTCTATCGCAACACGATCATAAATATGTTTTGGCAAAATTGTGCTCATACTCGGCATAGTTGACGAGATGAAGATTATTTAAGCATCGTGGGTAATCCTTCCCTTACAGATTTTCTCATTAATTAAATAATACACCTGTCCTGACCGGTTTACCTTCAGGAAAGGCGATAACACTACATGCTGCAGTAAGTAAATTTCGTGCGAAGTGACCCTTAAATACACAACTGGTGCTAAGATGTTTAGGTATCAAAAACTGAGGGCAGTGATGTTTTGAGCTGAGTTATTGTGATCTTTTTTTAGCCTTGCCGAATACAAAAGCAATTGGAAATTTTAAAAAGTTCCCCCAGCTTCTTCGCAGTAGTCTCAGTAGCGTGATTGATGTTGTCGGTGTTTTACGCATGCACAGAATCGATGATTATGCATGTGCACTCCAGTCTTTTGCCACTGAGTCAATAAGTAAGCTCTGAGAGACAAAATCTTTAAACAGAAAAAAAAAATCGTACGATGGTTGATAACTAGCCGTGAAAAAGATGTCGACCACAAAAAGTTCTCTGTTTGCGCTCTCGAAATGCTCGGTGAAATGCATGGTCACACAGTAATAGATACGATGTTATGGCTGAGGCAGACACTCTCCAAATACAAAGAACTAACAAACAATACTTTATTTGTTTATTTAGCCTGCAAAAACGAATTATGACATTTGTTACATTGTCCATGACCCATAAAACAAAAACGAACACATTTCTGGCACAGAAGAAAGGTGTCACCTAAAAATAAGTTGGTTCCAAACTTTTGTCGCGATAATAAGTCAGTTTTTCAATCATTGATTGCATCGTTTTTGAATTAGCAGCGGAAGTGTCAGCCTCAGTATGGTTAAGTATAATGGGCAAGAATTCCAAGTATGGCTTTATTCGGTTCAGGTTTGTATTAAAGCCATTTATTCTCTTCGGCAATTCTTAGTAAGACATTTTTCTCAACTAAGTTCACCAATATCCATAGTATATGATCTGTGGGGCAGTTCAGGGTTATTCAAATCCGCCATATCGCCCCAGTTCCCGTATATTGGCTCGTTCACTGCCCCATTTTCGCAACTCTCTTGTTCATTGCCATCGTTGCTATAAATTGGTTGGTCGTTCTCGAATACACCATCGCTGCCGGTGGAGGTGCATCCTTGGTCGGCATTAGCACCTGATTGGAAAGCTTGATTGACGTATCCCAAGGCAATAGTCTCGGTAGTCGAGCCATCGTTCTGAGCAGCAGTCTCCTCACCAGGCCTGGTAAGGTATGTGATAGTTTCATCCGGTTCTGAATGTATCGCAGACCTCCTGTTTGCTGGCTTTGGTTGGCCTGGTTCCACAGTGTAACGGGTTGCGGACGAGCTCAACCTTTTCATGTCAGTCTTACCTTTGATTCCTCTCTCTTCCATGCCACCTGTTATGGGTTCAGCGTAAATGTTTCCATTTCTTGCGAGTTCATTCAGGTCCCGACGGATTCGCCTCACGGTGATGCACAGGAACACAACAATGCAGAAAAGAAGTGCGCAACACCCACACAATGTATAAAGTAATATCTTTTGGATCAATTCTTCCATGACCTGCAAGTATAATCCTTGCGATAAGTCTCGGGATTTATTTCTTTATTACTGTTATTATTATTATAATTATTATTATTATTTGCTTATCGTTGACGACCAAGGAGCTGAGTGGTTAGCGCACGTAAGGCACCACATTAGGAAAATAAGCGTTTTCATTCAAAATGAAATAGCGTCAAAATTATTCGCGATATCCCATAAAAGTAAACATTTTTTCCAATTTATTAAACACTGATTTCGTATATTTATTGCATTTTTATAATTTTGATCATTCTGAACAACGCCTTCCTTTCTGCTCTCAAATTAATTTTTGCATTATTTCCCCCGAGGTAAAAAGGATATCAAAAAAAAAATTTCAGAATTTGACAGATCTTCATCTCTTTTACTACACAGGCAATTTTCAGGTAAGGCAGAAAAGTTTTGTCTTAAAGGTTCACTAGTTCGTGTTCTGGCCGGTTCGTTGTGTTGTGTGCTTGAGCAATATGCCGCTGTAACTCTTACAATGCCTCTCTTTACTCGAGAGTACAAAACGGCTGTAACAAAAAGACAGGAAAAATTAGAGAATTGCTGTATGGAGGGTTACTCACGATAGATTAATATCCCGTCCTAGGGGGTTAACGATACCTGTAGTCTCATAATGTTAACGGATCTGGTAAGACAAGCTTCAGCATTTTGAACTACATGTCACTCATGACTTGCTTGTTAATTGCTACGAGCGAATCTTTCTTGACGTTACTGTTTGCCATTACTTCTTTTAGGTGAGCTAGGTTACTCAGCGTAGTAAATAAGTAAGCCGAAATTTTGCTCAGCTAGCAGAACGAGTATTTCTTTTTTTTTTTTTTTTTTTTTTTTTTTTTTAAGAAGCTTTTTCAAGGCTTGCGGAGGCACGCAGGCTAAATGCGCGTTAAGTCGACTTTTTCAGTTGGCTGCGTTTTACGCAAAGGAGAAATAACAGTAAGTGAGCATTAAGAAGATTCAAACACAAACCAATGACGAACTTGTGAAATTTATACCAATTTTTTTTTTAGATGCGAAAACTGTCGCGACGCTATTGCCTTCTAAAATTGAAATAGGTTGTGGTATAGTTCCAGCCTGTTGTGTAAGGATCTTATTACAGTGCCTTGCTCTTAAAAATGTGGTTTATGCGACAATGCTAAGTTATTATTCTGCTGTGTAAGGCATGTTTCTGGAGCATCACGAGGAAATAGAACGCATTTGCATGCTAATGAGTCAATATGCGTTGCAACGGCCATATTTGTATAATGTTTACAAACATCTACGCTACAAATTGTACGTATCACTAAATTTCGCTTAATTATGTTAAGACCGTTAGCACTCCTTTTTAAATGTTTCCATCTCAAATATTCCTTTACCCTTTTTGTTTACCCTAGAAAACTCTTGTGTTGCGGTTGTCTTGTAGAGGATCGAAATTGTCTTCTGCTCAAAAATGCGCTCAAAATCGCGGCCTAATTTCTCTCTGGAATTTAATGTAGCGCCAAATTATGTAAAATCGAAAAAGTACGTTCATTCTGAGTATGAAAAGTATTTTTCGTGTTAGTCGCTTCCTTTTCAGCTGCAGCGGATGCCTTGACTTGAACTACACAATATTTTTAGTATTCGCGTTGACAATACATCGGTTAAATGCGTCATAAAAAGAAGAGAAAAAAATTATGCATTATGCAGCAGGTATGCGGACACTTCTTAAAAGGCAATCAAATCATAAATACTCTCCATCCTCATCAGTGAAAATTAAACAGGCATCGGCAGGCATCTGCTGCAGTAACAATGATTTGCGAAAATTTACTTCGCGACTGCCTCTTTGTAATTGATCTGCGCATCCTGATTACCAAATTTCCGTTCCTAATTCAAAAGCACTCACATGACTGATACAAATATCGAAAAAAAGCTGGCGAAAATTCACTTTGAGGCCTAATAGGAACATGGATTTAAGCATGATAATCAAAAGCCAAATTTCTCTCCGAATTAATATTTTCTGGCTAAAATGTTAAGTTCAGGTTTTGTTGGTTCATCAAGTAAAACCTCAGGAAACCTGAAAAATCGGTGACTTAGATTGTAAACTACATCAAAGTTACAAAGTTTTTTTAGAACGTTTTAAAAGAGGCAGTCAGTTACAGACAAATCGCGCGACAGCCCCGCGAGATCAGCTCTAAGCGATGGTAAACGTCTCGATGCTCCTCTTTATTTGACCTAAGTAGAGAGTAACTGATACATTACGATTTTGGAACAAAAAATAGTGCAGTACATGTACTACATCTTTCGAAACTGGTCATCAAAGAAAATAAAATGCAGCAATAATGCATATTTCATTTTGTTTACGTCTGTCTTTTCGAGGTCTTTGACATAACGTATTGTACTTGATTCATGACTGAACGCGTAAGTCTTTATTCAACTTCAAGAAGCGCAAAGATGTCAGACTCAACATGACGAGACATCCTTTCAGACGAAATTGAGCGAAACCGAAGACATTAAAAGTTAGTGATTGCGCTCGTGTCGTGTTCATTAGTACAGTCCATGACAGGGAGGAAATAACAACTGTATGTCAACTTTGATTCTATTAATAACTGAGATGGTACATGAGGAAATGAAAACATGACTATGGATATTTCTCCACGAATATCCAGTTCAGAAGGATAGATTGTCAGTCCTAATCTATAAGCAACCTTGAAGAGTCTACTTTGCACCCAAACATATATCGTACCTTATAAGTGAAACCCGTATATCAGCCAATGTGCTGTGACGAAATTCGAGAAGTTACGGCTGATAATGAAGCCGGCCGTTTTTTCGCGGCAACAGGTGGTTGTTTTTGGTCCAAGATGCAAGACCACGGACGACAAAACTAGCTCGTGAAAAGCGAATTGACGATTGGAGTTGTTTGCGACTTGAGGCGACGACTGCCAAAGGAAACTGGTCGGCAAGCTGGTCTGAGGAATGCGTTATCAATAGTGCTATCAAGTGTCGTATCACCAGTCAAAGACGTCTTCGGCTGATTCTTTACTTCTGAGAATTTCAGGATCCTTAAGGGCTAAGTCTTTCGCGATATTTTTCTACCGGTCTTACTGAGGCGAAAAAGGCTTTGTCCTGCGCTATTATTGCCGGTGTGAAATGAGAAGAACTCATAGGGAATAACCCCTTTGACTTTACAATATTTGACAGGCATCAGTTACGCAAGAGTGAGAACGATATATGAATTTTAATTGGATGGAGATTAAGAGCGGTCAAAAAACAGGAAGTCTATCGAAACAATGCTTTTGCTGTATGTATCAAAGTTCAGTTTATCCAACCATATGTTTTACTAGCTGATTTTTTTTCCTTGAGATTTTGACCGATTTTCACGATGTTGATTAAGCTTCAGGTAAAATTATCGAAACGCTATATTGGATTGAGCTTGACAGAGCGCAGCCAAAATAGCCGGAAGCTCCTAAAATATCTCAGAGACTAATACCCGATCATAATTTCCAATATCTTATCTAAATGACCACAGCGACTGCTAGCTGGTTCGCGTATTCATATCGAATAGTTTCGGGTTTGTTTCCGTGGTAATAGGGATATCTTTTGACAACATGACAATGTAAAGACTTAGGAATTTAATTCTCGAAAACTGAAAGGGGGTTACCCGCATCTTGACCTTTGCTGAAACAATCGCTGAAACAGGTCTGATAACTTTGTAAACAAGCTTGTTTTTGGGGGCGAATCACAAAAATTCGAGCATGCTTCATGTGGTGGTACTTTCTTCACCTTACATGAACTCAAGCTCTAACATTTTTTATAACCATGCCATTTTGCATTATTCGCAAAATTTTGATACATGCATGTTATAGAACAGCTTCGCGAAATCGAATTGATTGTATATCATCCGTGTAACGTAACTTTTATGTATTATTTGGTTGGTGTTGAAGGAAAAATTATGATAATATGTGAAGGCTTTGAACTGTTCTCTGTTAAAAGATTGTGTAGGTTAGGGAAGTAACGGAAGAAAACCAAAGCTCATGACAATAAATGTTAATACGCCGGGATTTGTCCCAACAAGTCAATACAACACTGCTTGTCACAGAACACAAAAGAGCACACAACCGTCTGAAGTACCATTATTGTTCGGTTTCTTTCAACAAAACACTTACCTCAGCAAATCGCGAGACAGTATAAAATCATCACCTTCATTTATGTCTGCTTGAGAGATATCAGAAGTCACCTCTCTCGCACATCACGAGCCTATTTTTCCTAACTACAGTGACACTTTTTCGTATTTTTGAGACATTTTGACTCATGGCTCCTAACTGGAAACACCTTTGTGACGATATTTTTCTCGAGGCGCCGCGATAGCATGACGCGTGTAGCTTTTTGGAAATGACGTCACTGCAATTGCAGTTAACTGACCCCAGCCGTTTTTGTTTTCGAGGTTTCTCTTTTACCCTATGTGAGCCACAGGGTTTAAGGGTTGAATAGTTGTTTCAGAGATCTCTTTGAAGAGAAGAAGAGACAAGAAAAGAGAAAAGAGACAGTAGAAGAGACTGAACAAGAGAAGAGACAAGACGCAGTTTTCGGAAAAAAATACGAAACCTGTACAGAGTCGGATGGTTATTTTTTTAAAGGAATATGATAGTATCGAAAGTATCCCAAATAGCTGGCTCTGGATGCTAATAGAAGGTTATGTATGGATGATGTAAGTGCGAAACTGAAATAGTCGTATTTGCCAAAGTACCAATCCTGGGATGCACAGAATGAATATTCCGTTTAGTTTGGGATTAATCAATTTCATAATGAAAAACAGTAGTCTTTATTTACAAATGAAATTAAGCATAATTGAGATAGGTAGAGGCAGAAATTCCATGTTGCGGTGAAGGAGATCGTTTGAAGTTAATTGAGTGATTCATTATCTGGACTGGGTGTTTTGACGGTATTAAGGAAGAGTGTTACCGGTAGAAACGCGAGCGTTGTCCCTTTCATTTGTCCTTACAAATCCAACTTATTTTTAGGCTGCCATTCTTCCCTGGAGATCTCAAGTAGTAATCATTGATGGAATGTAACGTGTCTACAAGGGCAGAGCAGTGGCTGAGATTAATTGTGTCACTTTTTAACCACAACGTATATGAGTTTAAATACAAGTTCAAGTAAGAATGTTCCTTTCTGAAAAATTATAGGGGCAAAGGCCCCCCTTCCACTCCTTAAATGAGGGGATCTAACCCGCTATATCGCCCTCTGCAGTCGCCCAAAATTTCTAATCAGCACGCAGCAAAAAAAAACGTTAGCATTCTCCAATCATAGTGTCGTGTAGCTGTCGTCCAAAGATGATCTACGCAATCTTTACTGCAGGTCGCAGTTCCATTTTTCCATCAGGGGGCTCACCAGCTGCACCTCGTGTTCCCCCACCAGAGCTTAAAGCAAGAATTTAATTCATGGGTCGATTGATATCTTGTCCGTAATGATATTGTAGATATTAAGCCAAATTTCATCATAATCAGCACTTCCGCATTTGCAGATAAAGAAAAGTGGTGAACGACTGACGTTATTAGATCTGAACAGGTGACAAAATATTGTGCCTTATTTACTGATGAAGACCTATTAGCGAAAACCTTTCCTTGTGGGTGTACACCTACTACTTCCAAAGACATGCGATTGTATTTCTTACAGCCATGAATCATTTCAGTTCTGCAACCGATGATAATCAGCTTCTCCAGGAAAGTTGCCGGCAGGAACGATACTAGCTAGTGCCTTGGCAGTCAACCTCCCCAACCGCAACGAATCATGATTAAACAATCCAGATCTTGGTTCCGGCATTTTATCAAACGACGAAGAACGCTTTTCTATGTTTTTCTTTCGGTATCGAAATATTTATCATATCTTCACTGGGTTCATTCAGCTTCGAAACCTTCGTTAATGCTGTCAAGGTTTTTCTTTTCATTTTCAGCGTCTTTAGTTGAATTTTTTTCTCCCGCCTGTACTTCCGTGTTTACAAAGTGTTCCGGTATCGGTGGATGTGGATTCCGTGGTAGCAAAGTAATAGATTCCCCTGCGGTCGGCCTAGCACCAGCTCTTAGAGGCAAAATATCTCTCAAGTTCGGCGATCCTAGCGTGTTACGCCGGTTGTTAAACTCGATTTGAATCTGACGAACATCTTCGAGTTTGTTATGAACTTTCTGGAGGTGTACATGGAGGTAAATTGCGAAGATACACAGGAGAACCTGGCATACGCAAACCAACCCTAATAATGCTAAAACGATGTACGTTAGATCTTGAACGTCCATGGGCGTTTTTGACGGTCTAAAAACGGAAAAAGGAAAATGCAAACAATCGCTCTGATTATGTTAATTTAAGGTTGATTTACTATTCATGGTTCATCCGCAGTTGGCAATCGCTACGTAATTACCAAAGCGTAACGCTCCTTCATCGCTTTCGATTGCATGAGGCCATTCCACACAAATAAAGCCGAGAGAAATTAGATTTATACCTACATCCTTTTCAAATAGAATCCAGCTAACAAGGAAATTAATTTATGAAAACTGCAGCTGTATGTATCAAAATTAAAAACTGAAAGAGCAGGCGGAGATGAGCTTCCACAGTGTGAGCTTCATTTTTAACAGTCAAATTAAACATTCCCAATAATAAGGTCGCTGTGTGGGTAGAAACACTTCGATTTGAGTTCTATATAAAAGGCTAGACGCTAGCTATAACTATATAAACAGTGTGATATTAGTGGTATAACTTAAGGCTGTCACTTAACGGAACTGCTTCAGTGCCTCGATTGTAGGATCAACAACTACAAAAGCGCATCGTAAAATTTCATCAGTTTTTCATCAAATTTTCACGCGTCATCTCAGATGACGAAAGATTTTGAAGCGTGCTGAAATACTTTCTCTCTGAAAAACCTACTTACTAGTTAACTCCTGGCAATGAATCCGTTTGGACCGCAAAATTGTTTGCCTTTGGGTTGCCAAAGCGTTACAAGCATTATAATTGCAAAACAGACAAGTAATTAGGGTAATTTTAAGCTATTGTTCAATGCAAGACATCAATACACGTCTTTATTTAGACGTGATAAATAATTTATACAGCAAGAAAGTTTTAAAGGTTTTTTATGGCTCACTGATTCACTCAAACCATTTTTCCAACAGCAATGCAAAAGATTGCGCAGCATAATGATTTTAAGGAAGAAAAACGCTGAAGTTTAGGTGTAGTAAAGTTCTATTGGAAGAGCTTTACGTACGCATATCTTGCTTACTAAAGCTTATCGTTACTCTTTGAAAAACTTTAGCCCTACAAAGAGTTAAAAGGCGACCAGAGATTAAACAACTATATTCTTTACTGATGAGGGCTCGAAATCATTAGTAAGTCCCATTTAGGGTGAGTTATGTCCACTTTAGCTTTGTCTGACTCCTTGTGACCACTTCTTATACAACTAAGATTTGCTTCTTAAGTTAATTTAGTCAAAATGCGTCAAAGGCAGAAGGAAATACTCTTGCCTTCTACCTTTGACATTCGTTCGCTTTTCCAAACCAGAATTTTGGTCTGTTGGTTCTTTAGATCACTCGACATACCTGGGCCGTAGCCAGCATGAGGTAAGACGAGGCAATTGCCTCGTCTTGATTTTGGCCCAAGATTGACTTTTCTGAAGAAAAATGCCACGGAAAATGCTTAACAGAGCATTTCTGAGCCTCTAGATTTCAAAATTTTCTGGGGGGGGGGGGGGGGGGGGGCATGCCCCCATCCCCCCTCCCCCCAGCGGCTCGCACCTTGGGCGCTCGAAACTTGCCTTGTCTTGTTCTGAAGTCTGGCTACGGCCCTGCACGTTTAGAAGAACTTGCATTACAATGCCCGATTCTTCAGTAACCTACTCTACCAAGTTACACGAACGTTAAATGGCCAACTCCATATTCTTACCCTAGAATTATTTTTAACGACGACCACTGACCGAAAAGTCAATGAGAAGAGGATAAAGGATCGTTTTACTGACTGTCCTGTTACACGAGGTTAGCCAAGAGGGCGTTGAAAGCAATTGCTTTCGTACTTCCATTTAAATATCAATAATGTCGCTATTAATGTTAATTGGAGGTTCATGCTCATCAGGTTTCAGGGCAGGGCCATCGTTATAGTTGATTAACCCTTGTTGGAACGGAAGGTTGACGTAGAATGGTTCTTGTTCTGATAAATTGTGAACTTCCTCCTGATCATTGTTGGTAGTTCCCGCTTTCGTTTCCGATGCACTTAAGGGTATTTCGCTGTAAATTTCGTTGCCTTCTTCATCGAGGTTAGAGTAAACTTGCTCAGGTGTGTTTTCATTATTTTGACCTGCTGCTGTCGCATGGCGCTTATGTTCTTCATTCTTAACACTGGATTTATTTTCATGCCTTAGATCAGGGTTATCGGCGCTAGCTGTGTTTCCTTTGTGAAGAATGCTTCGGAGTTGGGAAATTATATCTGACGAGTCACCATTATCTGTCACCGGTTCCTTTTTTCCACCGTCCACTGGCGTAACTACCATTTCATACTCAGAGGTGTCACCTTCACTAACACCTGGCTTGTTGCAATTTTGATTGCTCTTTGAAGCTGCTCCCGTTTTTCCTTGAGCAACACTAAGCACAGTCCTGTCATGCTTCACGACGCCTCGCTCATGTCGGTTTAAATCCTCGGGATTATGCGGAAAGGACATCCGTTTAGCCGTCTTTCCTTTTCCTCTATAGTCTTCATTAATATTTCCTTGTTTCTTAGCAGGGTAGCTGTGTCTCACAGCAGTTTTAGCCCTTTTTTCAGGGTTCTGAGTCTCGCTTGCTCTGTTCGTAAGAAAGCCTCGTAGCTGAGAGATGACACCAGTTGACTCATTGTTTCGTGTCACTTCTTGGGTGTTGGCCGATGGGGGCATTTTCTTGCCTTCATTGCCTGAATCCACTATAGCCACTGACTCATAGTTTGAAATTTCCCCATCATTTACCTTGGACTTGCTCTCAGAATGACCCACGTCCTTAACAACTTGGACATTGTTTCTTTCATTGGTGTTTTTCTTGGACTTAACTGCTGTTTTAGGGGAAGATGCGATGTGTTGTTGAGCGAGTTGTTGTGAATCACAAACGTCAAGAATCACAGGTACGTTCCATCGGTCTGCCTCCTGGTCAGGTCTGTTGCAATGGGATTCAGCTTCATTGGGATTCTTTACATGAGGTGAAGAATTAAACGTTTTCTCCTTTCCCGCGGAGTTCACTCTACCGTGCTTTTTCTTGGAGAGGCGTGGTTTCGGCTTAGGCCGAGTTTCACTCGTGACTCTTTTCTCTGTAATTTCGCCCATTGGAGGGCTTACCTCGACACCATCTTCTAGAGACGTGGATGGTGCTTTGCAGTAATTTTCTGAGGCATCTCTGCAACCCTCTTTAGTTAGGACCTTTTTGTCACTCCTCTCTGCGTCTTCCTCCTGCCCTCCTTGAGTTGAGGTTCCATTCTGCACTTCTTCAGCAGGGGGGCTCGTTACGTTTGGTAGTTCTAATAAAACTTCATTTGTTTGTTTCGTATCCTCAATCAAAACCACACATTCCAGTTCACCCGTTTCAGTAGCCTCTGAATTTTGCGGAATATCGTTTCCATTCTCTGTACCCATCTCTATTACAGTATTCTCATTTACCTGACAGTCATCGTGGTCTGCAAAGAGATTTAAGTCGTCCGTACTGCCAGCACTTACAAAGATAATTTTTCTGTCTTGCTTCGCATCCGTCGCGGGGCGTTCACTTAAAGAGACTCCCACAATTGCAGGATTTTCATCCACTATTTGCAGGTATGATGCCACTGGGGTCGAGGTATCCGGAATTACTTGTTCTTGGCTATTTGATTCATCGTCTACTTCTCTGGCATCCTCTTGAGACTGACAAGCAGATTGTTCCTCATCCGGACGGGGTCCATCTCCATCGTCATAGACATGTGAATAAACAAAACCTCTGGGGATATGTTTCCAAGTGTTATTTTCGTCGGAACCTTCCGCTTGTTGGTTGAAAATTACCAAAGAATCGGAGAGAGCGTTCGGAATTTCGTGTTGAGTCTCTGTTGCTGGTGTTAAAGGTTCATCGCTGGGTGCTAATTTGCAAAGAACGCTCCACTCGTTTGATATGCTGTCTACACGGCTTTGTATTCTTCTCAACCAGACAACCAGAAACAACACAAGCGGCAGCAACAGAGAAAGGAAACAGAGTAGAACTACGGATAGTTTTAAAATAGTTTCCTCATTCATGTTTTCTGGAGTCGTTTTTATTCTGTCGAAAGAAAAAAATGAAATATTACTGTAAAGCTGTACAGCAGCTCAGCACTAATAGATCTTGCTCAAAAATTTTATTATTTTTTTTTTTGGTTATCAACTCACCTACTGTAGCTTCCGTATAAAGGAGAAAGATTTGGAAGCCATTTCTTGAATATTTCCACAATTGAAATTTTTAACCCTCTAACTCCTATGAGTTACTAAGACAGAATTTCTCCTTACAATATCTATACAACATCAACTTGATAAGTGATGAGAATAAAGGAAAAGATCAATTTGGGAATAATTATTTGATTCAATATTAAATTCGCTGAACTAACATTATAAGAATTGTATGGTTGGCAGTAAGGAGAATTACAAATTTGATCTGAGAGTTAAAGGGTTAAAACGTTTGTTATATTAACCTTCGAGTTAGCTATCTTAAACGCTTAAGTGGATTTTCACCATTTTTTCCTTGAGTGTGATTGAAGATTAATTTTGACCGAAAATGATAAGGCAGAGTGAAAATGAAACTAGTACGTTAGAAGGTGCAATTTTATCCGACTGCAGAAAAGTGAGAACACCCGCAATAATGCCGAATGTACCAAATGCAGCTTAATTTTCACCTCCACTCGGAGTAAAGTTGTTACGTTGTCATGCTAGCCTATTCTAGCCGCGCGCCCTCATGAATGTTTGTGACATCTTGAAGTACTTAACATCAGCGCAGCTTGATTGGCGTCGCCGTGTCGAACTATTTCAAATATATCATTATGCAAGGCTGATTGAGTTTGACATTCATCATGGACGGTAGTTCCACTTTTTGTCATTTCCCTCAATCGAAGCCTGTCTTTTTTCCTTTTTTTCTTTTCTTTTCTTTTTTTAATTAAATAGATTTTTTCCCCTTTACTTTCCGATTCAGTGAAACCAAATACATAAATGATTACAAAGCAGGAATATTGAAATATGTAGATAGATTCTTTATTTTCTGTCCATTATAAGCTATCGCCCGCTGTTTCCTCCACAAGTGCGTCAAAACTAGGGAGATTTATTATTAACTTTTCATCTTAGTTTGTTTACAGAATTGGAATTCTTGCCAACATTGATACGAAATGCTATCGGAGTATTTTAATCCATTTTGACCTCTTCATGACTTAAAACTTAATCGGAGTAATTTTGTCTCCAAAGAGAGGAAAGAGCCGCGCATCGCGGTGTGTATTGCATGTGCAAAAAATGGCAATTTTTCTCCAGTACGTAAACATGTCTAAACAGGCATATGAATTTGGCAGCCTTATTTCGTAACACAGTGATTAGTGAGTTTGACCTCTTACTTAATTGGAATTTTGTGGTTTGTGTGGTCTTCGAATTTATCAATTGTAGATGCTGCTAATCCGAGATATGCACGGACTTGACACGCTATTTATAAACATTGAAGGTTGATGGAAAATGATATCGAGTGTGCTTTTTTCGTAGTAAACCTGTGTGTCATCATTCAGTGCAGTGCACACTGTTAATCAATCTGAATTCTAATTCCACTAATGTACAACAGATCGCAAAGTGAATGATCGAGTAAGCCAAGATAAGATGATACCTACACGAGTTTTCGTTGCCTCAAAAACTTTTGGAATTTTCCGCGTATGTGTCAAGTGATTCTTCCATACCTCAGAGGGTGTAGCTGATTGCAGCGCGATAACGAGTGAGTAGTTCGAAAGGAAGCGGGGGGGGGAGGCAAAAATACCAAAGACCTTTGCCCCTGCTTGAAGCCACGAAATGTATCACTTTGCACTTCCTGTGTTTCACCACTCTTATTCTTGGTCTTGTATTTGGGAGAGTATTAATCCATGATAGATCGTTTCACATGTGAAACTAACGCAGTTAATGGTTAAGATTTTTTGTGACATTACATAACTGTGCAATTCCTCGCATTCGGCGTCGTAAATTAACTGTTCTCTAGCAAAGCATTTAGCACGATGGCTGTTATCATCTGTTTTGTGATACTTACCCTTTTCCAATATTTCTTTACTTTAGGAGGTATTTTAAAAGCGACTGGACGCAATGCTTTTGAACATCAAGCCTTTAGTCGAGACATGTCTTCTCATCACATTGGAAGGACATTCTACACAACCAGTTGCGTTGTCACTCAAAACAACACGGAAGACGACAGTTCAGCGGGTCAGCAGCAGCAGCCAGTTGTTTGTGACCGCGTTAGCGAAACGAAACGAAACGTCAAAACTTTGGAAGATATTCGCTTTTCCTGATAAGGGATAAAGGATACAAATACAGGTGCACCGCACTCTTCCAGACAAAACCTGCAGTATTTAAAACAACGGTACAACGGGTTCATTTTCGATGCCTAAGGCATTTCGGCGACGAATCTGTATTCCCTCACAGATCTAAGATCCGGTTTTCAATTCCTGAACGGTGCAGATGAGAAACGATATGTAATTCTTTATGAACTGAAAGCGTGACTTTCCCTGATTTTGGCTTTCTGACAACAGAAAGGTTTTGTGGGAACGGAAGTTTTTTTTTCCGTTTCTAAGAGATATTTAGCGGCTTGTCTGCAATAGTGGCAGTCGATCCGGTGACAGGGTAGGTTTGTCAATGATGTTCGTAACCATTGCAAACATTCCTACCGTTTAAAATTACAAGTTATTAAGTTCTTGAAGCGATTTGTCCACCCGTAGAGTGAAATTTTTTCAAGGTTTGCGTTGTCAAAGACTGGGTGTCAGCGCGTTCTTTAAGGGACCGGTAGGTATTTATCGCGTGAGGGGGGGGGGGCGGCGGAAATGGGGGATCACTCGGTTTCCAGAGGGAATGGAGGGAGATCAGTCGTTGCCAGCAGAGTATAAATTGAGGACTGTAGAAAATTAGCTGCCAATGAGGGAAAGATCACAAGAATATCCCAGAGCTTTATGGGGGATCAGGTAAATTTTGTTGTGACATACCCCAAATCCTCCAGCCCCCCTCCCCCTCCCCCTCCCCCCGAGGCAATGAGACTGGTTGCTAAAAATTCTTTTGAAATGCTATTGCAGTCGGGTTGTCGGAAGTGGAGAAGGACAAGATTTTTTCAGCTGCTGCGTCATAAGGTGGTTAAATTTTTTTGCCATGATGAGAAGTTTGAACACTGTCACAGACGAGGGTAACCTCGGGTCAATAATCTTTAATTTCACCGAGATAAGCCGAAATCATCCTGCATGGACGATTCTGCTCTCAACAAGGCGCAATGCTTCTCGTTTTACCAAGGCTTTTCAACTCTTTGAGGATCAAGCGAGAAGAATTGAAAATGCTGAAATTTTTAGTCGGCCTGCGATTTGTTGTTAAATTGAACATTTTGTTTCTGTGTTGGAGACGAGCAACTGAAAAACCCAGTGTCGAGGAGTGAAATTCGTTCTGGTAGCACATGAATTTAATAGTAGCGAGGACGTGGTGGGCGAACCAACAAGCCTTTGAATTTTGCTTAGTAGTTTACTGTATATTTTACTACATATTTGGGACACGATAGTCATTTAAATTCCCTATAATTTGAAAAAATGCGCCAAGCTCGGAAAACCACCGGGCCATGTTACAACTAATCTCTTTTTATCGACTACGAAAGGTTAAACTTTGTATTTATAGAAAAAAAGCTGTTAGTTGTTGAAAAATTAAATCTCAGTTCGTTCGATCTCCGACTATTATTGTGATTGGAATAAATTCCTCACCACTTCCAATTATTTGTTTTAAATAATTTCAAATTCTGGACTTATTTTGCTTTTTTTGGACTTCGACACGTATTGAATATATTTCGGTAATGTGACAAACGTCTTAATTCAGAGGAAAATTGAGTTACTAAATGATTTTGGGATACACCTAGAAACGCATTCATAAAATCCCAAATCTAACAAGGAAAAGTTTGGGAAAAGTCACTATGTAGCACTTAACTACTTACAACAGTGCTCCCAGTTGCCGCAACAAATAAACTTTGAAGGATACTGTACAAATCAATACAAGTTATAACTATCTCCTACATCATGTTCGCAACTCACCAAACAATACTTAGAGTTAATAAACCCCCACGGTCCTAAACCTTCATTATATCATTATCGTAGATCGGGCTTTTATCGATATCTTGAGCAGCTATATCAAAAAGGGAAGATTCTACTTGAACGTCACTGTTGGCATAGATGTGGGTATCCTCCGTGTTTTCTTCAGCAGCGCTTTGGATATTGTCTTGATTAACATATATCGCCTCCGGATTGGCAGGAGCCGGCTCTTTGTTTGGATCATTATTGTTGTCTTGAATCGTAGCATAAATGTCGTCAGTGCTGTCCTGATGACCTTGCCCAATGGTGATGTGGCCACGGGAATCATGTCTTTCGGGTTGTTGCTTGTCATCAATTGAGCTATCATGTATAACAGCCAAATAGCCATTGCCATCTTCATCGGAGGGTTTTGTATCAGTTTTAGGTTTACCATTGGGATGACTCTCTTTGTCATTTCCTGGGACATGTACGGAATTGTTGACGTCAGGGGAGCCTTTCCAGTCTTTCACCTTCTCAGAAGTGATGTAGTCATAGTTGTCGTCGTTTCGGTCATCCACACACGTTCCCCCATCAGTCGGTGTCTGGACAGTTCCTCGTTGGAGCGCCAGGCTCTCTGTAAGACTACCAGACAACCTTTTGGCTTCAGAGTTTCCATCGTGTTGGACAAGGAGGTACCCAAAGCTATCTTCGTCGTTGCTCTTTGATATTTCACTAAGTTCGATAGCTTTGTCATTTTGAGATTTTTGGATTTCAGGAACAGCTCTGGGTCCAAATGTTACTATCCTCGGTGGCAACTTCGGGGTCAGAGACATACGTTTCGGATCACCGGCCTTGTTCTGACCTCCAAAGCGCTCGCCAGCTTCTTTTCCCTCTTCTTGATTTTTTATCTCTTTTGGCTGAGAGTCCACAGGCAAAAGATACTGTGACTCGTATGCGTCTTCACGAGGAGGAATTCCATTAGCAGCCAATTCTGACGTCTCGAATGGTTTACCAGAACCAAACACCACAAGGTACCCATGGTCGTACTCATTTTGTGGCCCTCCGCCATCCAAGGTTCCATTAGTAGATTTTAGGTTCTGGCTTATTTCGATTTTCTCCCCTTTCCCAGAATCCACTTCTGTCATTTCTTCCCGGAGGTTAGCGTAGGTGTCAGCCTTGGCACCCTTTAAGCTCATATACATTTTCCTCTTGACTTCTATCCCATTTTTCTCCGGTTGATCACCAGGAGAGTCTTTTATTGTTGGGCCGTCGCCAATTATTTGAATATACGAGTCTTCCTCTTTATCGCTGACTTTTATTTCGTTTCCTATGTTGATTCCGTGAATGGACCTCTCGTCTTCTGCCACTGTTGTAGAGCAGCCAAATGAAGTTTCCTTCAAGTCTACATCCTCACTGACAATCCATGGTGCGTAGGCATTAGAACTGGTAAGGCGCTTCCAAGGATCACTTCTATTAGAACCTGAAGTGTCTTTGTTGGAGAATATCAAAGGTTGTTCAGTAACCTCAAGTCTGCAGAAATCTTTCCATCCTTTAGAAATACTGTTTACACGGTTACGCAATTTTGCTAGCCAAATAGTAACGCTGACGATCAACACCAAGAGCAGCGCTAACACACATAGAAGAACCAGTAACGCTATGAAAATTAGGTTTTCGTCGATCAAAGCCCCAAAAAAAGTACACAGGCATTTTGCCATCCTAGAAAGAAAAATATCATAAAGAATAAAGAACATATTTTTTTGTCAAATGTACTCTAGTGTAAGGACCCTCCCCCCCCCCCCAGTCCTTCCCTCTTCGCGGTCTCTGCATGCACTAGTTATAGAAGAAATTCTCGTTCGACATGTTCAGACTATACCTCTGACTCAAGGACAGGCGTTACAAATCACCCACACTCTAGAAGAGGGGTTTAATTTCGTTCCGTACGGTCCCAGAGCGTGCGAGACCATGATCGATGCCCTCATTGTACTTTTAAGGGGATATACTTCGACTTATACTAAGGAGCCCAGACTCCTGACCAAATGTGGTTTCTCCTGAATTCGGAGAATCTGAACGGTAGAATTCCGAATAGATTGTTTTGGTGGAGATTAACAGAAACGCAGGTATGTCCATTTAGGATCCAAAAGTGCAGCCTATCTAACGGTCATCCGATGGGAAACTACTGTAGATATTATTTGAAAATTGAGCCCCTCATCGTGATTTGATCAATCAAAATAATCGAAGAGATGGCTTTGAGTGCGCAACAGCAATGTTTGTTTGATTTTTTCCTGCCGTTCTAAATGGCTGCTATCTGCTTTCCTTTTCTAATTGGCTTAAACCACGCTTGACCTCTTGTTCGACGAACGAGCAGCGGCGTCTTTGTGTTATAAAACATTCCATTTTAATCGGTTTGACTTTTTGATGAAAGGCAATTATACGCAATGGTCACGTTTCATGTATTTGTTTGCATGGTCTATTCGTTTGCAAAAGTGTTGCCTTCTCAGGTTTAATCCTTTAATCAAAACTCACGAATGACCTCTAAAGTCACCGTCCTCACTCGTGTAAAGTCCTCTTGAGATGATCATCAGGGCATACTTGCTGTGTTAACTAAGCTACGTCGCCTCGTTTCGGAAGCATCATATAAAATTAAACCTCATGGAATTTGTAATTCTTGACTTAAACGCAACAATGACCCCAAACGTCACTATTTTTGATTGTGTAATACACTGCTGAAGTGATTGTAACGGTGCAAATGCCTTTTCTCACGTCTTTAGCACTTTTCTGAAATAGCATAGAACATTGCTTGACAAAAAAAGAGAATTTTAATTCCAGAGTAGACTGAATACAGGGAATAAAAACTAAAACAACATAAGAAAGAAAGTTTGTCTTTCATTTATGCTGCGATTCAGTCAAATTTAAACTGAAAGTATTTGTGCTCTCAAGGAAGCTTTGGTATTTTAAGCTTAAAATCCACTGATACAACAGGTAACGCCATATGACGTTTTCTGAATTCGTCATGCCAGTACTGAAAGCTGTTTAGCTTAAATGGAGTCATCGTCGGCTTTGTAAAAATCGCACGGCTTTCACGTCAAATTTAAACACCCACCTCCATGCACGATCAAAAATATTTGGCTGACCTGTTGGCAAGCGCATGTCCGAATTATGAAAATGATTCAGAATGAATTTTATGCCTAATTTTTCTTCACAAGGCGTTGCATCATAGTCGATCCACATGTACAAAACTTCAGCACTTCAAACGGGCTGTTTTCTTTGTTAGTATCTCGTTATATGTATACGTGTGCAAATCATGTTTTTTGTTTACCAAACCTTCTTCCTGCTCGTACATACCAGAGTATAATTTTTGTTAGCCGCACTTCTAAGACTTTTAGGGACCGCGTGTTTGATCGATGAAGGTCCATC